AAGACGAAACCTTGGTTTTCCAAAAAGTCATTTTGGCAGGTAAGTCACTAAAGGAGGTGAAATCTTCTAAGCACATTATTTTTCTTGATTTATTTTGCTTTTTGGCAGTAATGAGGTTTGAACTGAGGGCTTCACACTTTCTAGGCAGACACTTTACCATTTGAGCCACTCTGCCAGCCCTTTTCTTGTACAGGTATTTTAAAGATAGGGTGTTAAGAACTATTTGCCTGGGCTGACCTGGAACCACGTCCTCTTGATCTCTGCCTCCCAAGTAGCTGGGATTACAGGTGTGAGCCACCAGCGCCTGACGTACATTATTTTTCTGATATACAAAGCAGGTATCAGATAGTGTCATATTCTGATTCTCCCCAAGAAACATCCTTAAATAAGAAAATTAACAGGGCTGATTTGATATAATGCAATCTTAAACCAAAGGAAAACTAACCCAGTGTGATTTTCTTTGTCACCTCCTATCTTTTGCAAGTTACTTTAACTTGAAGTATTTAATGACATTAAACAAGGCATTTCTTTGGCTTGTGTTGAATTATCAAAAGTAATTAAAGGATAATCGGGAGTTTGAATATGTAACATAAATTTCATGTATCTTATTCCAAATGGGTTGATAAATTGGATTTTTTTCTTAGTTTTGATAAAATTTTAAAACCCATTAAACCATTACAATCCCCCAAAACTAATTAGAACTATTTTCTGGCTTGTAGTTTTAATTAACTTCCCCTCTAGTAGTCACTAGAGCTGATACAACACTCCATCCTTGACTGGGTTAGGGGTGGGAAGGAAATGTGCTTGAGGTAACCAAAATTAAAGTGTTTCGGTTTCTCATTCCACTTAATTTTATGTGCAGGCAGGCCTCAGAGAGAAGACTGTATAAATAATAGTTTAGGACAGCTGCATTTTAAAGTGGAGCACAAACATTCGTACAGCAACAGTTTTTTGTTTGAAGGGTGTTCCATCCCTATGACTTTCAGATTAATCTGTACATTCAAGGCAAAGCAGAGAAAGCTGCAGTTATGTATTCCTAACATGATTCTATGTCACACAGTGGCACTATAGTTGTTCTTTCTCTACTTGTTTTATAGGACAGTTCTTACTAACACTGAATTTTCTAAATGAATTATTCTGTAAGTCTTTATGAATGCATGTGTGTATTTCTTAAATGTTTCAATTGCCTTAATGTCATATTTTAAGCTTGTTTTCTCTTGCTCTCAATATTGAGGAAAACAGTAAATTCATCTATAAAGCATGCATGCTAGTGGTTTTGGTTCACCGTATAGTCATTGTTTTGGGAAAGTTTTTGAACTGCTTTATCTTGAGGCCTTTTATACAATTCTCTAATGTTCTTGTAGTTGGCCATTTAACTATTTTAGTATTTAAATAAAGGTTCTTTAAAAAATCAGAAACTAGCTTATGAATTTATACTTTGTAATATTTCTGTGATATAAAGAAGTGATCTTCTTTTGAGACAGGGTCTCACTATATAGCCCAGGCTGGCCTTAAACTGATTTTCCTGCCTCAGCCTCCTGAGTGCTGGGATTATAGAGCTGTACCACTACGTCCAGCTGATCCTTTTTTGTTGGAGTTAGTGAACGGCCTGCATTTGGTTATCAGCATGAGGATTTGCTCTGACTTCTGCATTTTGCATTTAAGTCTTTCATCTAATTGTATGGGAGCTACTAGAGCTGAGGGCACTATAACAGGCTGGTTTTCTCAGTGGTTGTCTTTAGCTCTCAGTGGTCCTAAGAAAGATGATCAGGACAAGATTCTATTTATAAATGTGGGATTCCTTTACATAGTGCTCATCACACCCTTCATTGCTTTAAGCACTCTTCCACTTGAGCCCAGCTCCAGCCCTCACTGCTGCTTTTAACTCTTTAAGCTGTTTTTATGCTTCAAATAATACAAAGTTTTGTGCTTCAAATAATGCAGCACAAAGCACAGATCACATTTAATGATAAATTACTCAAACGTACATTATCTATAGTTCAGGAAAATTTGAACTGCCTTGAAGAGGCCCAGTTTTCAAGTTCTGACTTTCACCATTATCTCTTCCAGTTCCCAAACATATTTTAACACCTACTATATGCCAAGTATTATATTGTTATAGTTTATACATCAGCCTATTTCCCTCTTTTTGAAGACTGCAAGATGTAAAAAAAAAAAGCATGGCATTTATAATGAAGCTTTCTAAATGTGTTTATGCCACTAGAGAAAGCCATGGATAAAATTAGAGCAACTTATATAGTAGCTAGAAGACAAAACACTGAGAGGGACACTAATTTCCAGTAAGAGAGCGACAGTGACAGAGGCAGCAAAACACTTTTTTTTCTCACACCTATCAACAGGACCAAGAATATTTCCATCCAGTAGGATCTCATAACTGATTCTTAACGATGACCTTCAGTTGTTGCCAAGTGAAGATTAAATTATATAGCCCCAAATACTCTGGTTAGATCAGAGAAGTATAAAACTTTATGTAAATGTTCATAAATAGTTCCAATGAAAAGTTGTAATGCTTAAGAGCTGAAGGGTCAGTTATCTAGAAAATTCTCTTTCATAAACAGATTATTTCCAGATTTCAGAGAATGAGATACAGAAATTGCTGGAAATAACAGTGTCTAAGAAAACATTATGAGGACTGGAGGTGTGGCTACAGTGGTAGATACTGCCTAGCAAGCACAAAGCCCTGAGTTCAAATCCTAGCACCCCAAGAAATGGGGGGAGGGGAGAAAACATGAGCAGAAACAACTTCATTTGAGAAGGCGAAAGCTGCTGAAACACCTAGAGCTCCTCATAGGAACTTCAAAGTACCATGTATGGATTTAAAGGCAAGAAATGCATTCTTCTTTTCTAAGTCCTCGTGGCTTACGAATAATGCCATACATAGCAGTTGTAAGGTGCTGTGGTTTAGGGCTGACTTGTCCCGCCAAAGACCCATGTGTTATGCCTGGGTCCCAATCTGTGGTGCTATTGGGAGTGGTGAAGCCTTTACCAGGTTAGGTCATCTGGGGTGCCCTTAAAGGAGACACTAGGACCCCTCTCTGCTCCCCTGCTGCCACAGGGAACAGGCGTCTTCTATCACACTCCCATCACGATGTACTATGTTGCTTCGAGCCTAAAGCAACAATGCCAAGTGACCATGGACTGAAACCTCTCAAACTGTGAGTCAAAGTAAACCTTTTCTCTCATTAAGTAGATTGTCTCAGGTGATTTTTGTCACGATAGAAAGCTAACTAACACACAAGGGAAAAAGCAAACTGACTACAACAACTGCCCTCTTTCCAAATAGTCCCGATGCTAAGTAAGGAAGCATTTTTCTTAGTTTTTCAATTGTTACAATGCTCAAGTTTTCTATCTCCTATTCTTAAGTCTTAAACATGGATAATTCCTAAGGTGTAGGCGATGACCTTCTACTCTTCTCTATAAATATTTTCTCCCCTGGAAAGATCTAATTACTGATTATTTCCACTGCTGCTCTTCATGGATGACTCACATTTGCATAGTTAGGCATAGCCTTTCTTTTCTAGCTTTATTGAGTCCTGAATTTCTAACAAACCCCTAGAATTTTTTTTTTTTTTTGGATATTCCACTACCATCTCAAATCTTACAAACCTACTTGAGCTCTGAGCTCATTTTTGCTTTGAGTCATACTCTCTATATTCCTTTTCAGTCCCCATTTCCTAGGCTCAAGGAATTGGACTCTTCCCTGTTTTCTTTTCCTACCAATCATTTTCTCCCATCATCCCCTCAGTTACTAAGGAAAGTACTATTGAATCACTGTAACCTTGGTCACGAGATACAACAATTACTACCAGACGCCAGGACTACCCTATCTTCCCATCAATACCACCCTATTATACACTTTTGCTGGGTGGGTGTTTCTCAAACATGGCGTGGACCATTCATGGTTCCTCCAATCCTTCCATAAATGCTCATGAAGTGCTTAGCTTACGTGAAGCACAGTATTACACACCCTGACACGGAGGAATGAATTACATCAAGGTGTAGTGTAGTAGTTCAAAGGAAGAAAGTGTTAATAATTTAACGCAAGTTCGGAAGGTACCACGGACATTCCGTGTAAGGAGAACTTCTTTTTGGATGGAGCTGAGGTCAGTACGGTTGTAAGGAAAATGGAGGGCATTTCGCATCTGGAGCAGTCGTGTGTGCGAGCACGTGCGCACCCCGGCAGGCGCGACTGAGCCGTGCACGGCCCGTGCACAGTGCGCCACGGCCTGCAGCCATGCTGGCGGGACGGTGGTGGCGGAGGAGGGGCGTCTGCCGCGTTCGGGGGACGGTGGGGACTTGGCGCAGGTGGGGGCAATGCGCACGGGCGGAGGGATGCCAGAATCACGGCACAACCGACGCCTGACTGAAGGAGAAGCGGCGTCCTCTTTAGACCTGGGCCCTTCTTGCTGACTGTACCGACAGAGAGGGGAGGGCGGTCTGGGACGCGATTTGGGGGGAAACGCCCCAGGGGCCAAGTGATGCTTGGGATGCGCAGCTTTAGCACCCTTCGCGGAAGACTCGAGAAGAAACGGCCAAGATCCTTGGAGACAGATGGGTACCGACACCGCGCGAGGGGCAGAGAAGTGGTGCTTCTGCCTTAACCGGCACGGAACGGACTACAGAAACCTCACTACCCCGGCCTGCTGGCGTCTCCTCCCCACGGCGCGCCCGCGCCCCACGCGCTCGGGACTCCGGGAACGGGCGGCCGGAAATGGCCTTTCGCTCTTCTCGGCCCAGTCCCGGGATTTCCGTCCCTACCCGTGGCCGGCTCTCAGCCTAGCAGGCGTTAAGTGGTGGCGATGGCTTTTTCTGTCCAGTCACCTCAGCCCCGCCATCTCAGATCTAGGAAAAGTGCTGCGCAGCGCGCCACCCTTGGAAGAAACAAAAATCCCCCGGAGAACGCCAGGTATCGCGAGACTTGGCAGCAGCATCCGCTTTTGCCCTGCGGAAGCGGAAGTCACGTGGTTGTAGGCGTCCTGAGGAACGCTTTCCGTTACCTTGGAGAGCCGAAGTGGGCTTGAGATCCCGAGTGGGGGGAGGACAGGGGTAACTTCTCCTGCGTGTCTGGCCGGCCCGGTTCGGCCCGAGCTTGGTAGACACAGCCCTTGCCGGGTGAGTAGCCCATTTGGGGCGATGGAGGGAACGGGGCGGCCCGAGCCCAACGGTCTGGACTCCTCGGCGACACCGGAAGCCACTACCTTGCGGCCCGGGGTCAGCCCGCGTGATCGCTTCCGCCTGCAGCGAGTTTGTCGGCCTGGTGCCGAGGTCGCACGGTTATCCGTCGGGGGTCTTGGTCTTCCCCTGTTCCGATCAGTCATGACCCGGCCTTGTCGCCCGCAGTCAAAGCGCGGTGGGGTTTTATTTGTGGCACGGAGGCGTCTCGTCCTAGAGCAGGATGGCGGAGGCGGGCGAGGCGGGGGGCAGCGCTGACCGCACCGGGTGGCGGGGGCCGCTCCCAGACGCTGGGTGAAATGAGCTTTGTGCCCGGCGTCTCGGGCACAGACCTTGTACAGAGGGCTGTCTGACAATACGGTTCCGAATTCCTGTTGAAGGAAGACGTAATTGATCTGGGAAGTTCGGCCGAGGCACGTGTCAGTTTTTGTAACCATTACGGTGTGTCTTATTTAATCTAGTGAATTTTCCAGTTGCCACAGGATCTGGCCCAGAAATCCTAGGTTCAAGCAGTCGTGCCTCCGCCCTTCCAGCAGCTGGAACTACAAGGGTTCCCACTGCATCCAGCTCACCTTTTGTTTTTTCTCCTGGTCTTGGTTTTTTTGGGTCAAGCGTCTCACTGTGTAGCTCACTTCGAACTCCGTCTAGATCCTTCTACCTCATCCTCTTGAATACTGGGATTACAGGTGTGCACCTTCTCACCTGGCTACTTCTGTTTTGACCCAAGCTTGGAAACTTACTCTACACTCAGTGAGGAATTCCGGTTCCTTTTTTTTGCAGTTACTGTTCAATCACTTACAGTCCTGTTTCAATCCCTCCTACTCCAAAATAATCAACCCTTTATGGCTAAATCCAATTAATTGTTCTATTACTATGTGATTTGCCACTTTGGGCCTTTATTCTTTTGCCTTGTTGGATAATCTCTTCTGGTTGGACTCTAATCTACCTGTACTTTCTCTTATCCCTTTATCTTTGTTGTTTAAGCATGGATGTTCTCAAGGTTCAGTTCCTTGACACTTTTACTCCACATTCTTCCGGAAGAGCTTCACCTACTCTTAGAGAGTTAACCACCAATAACGTTGTTGATTGGTATCTCTCCTATTCACGGGTTAACTCTTATTCAGATAGTTAATTGTGAATTGACTCTTTTTGGATGTATGTAGCATAACAGACTTGAAATTCAGAGAGCATCCTTGCACACTCTTGTAGTTGCTGTGGAACTAATGTGTCCAGTTATTTGGTGAGAAGCCTGAGGGTTACCCTTTATTTCCCTCTCCCCCCACATCTACTTGGTGTTTAATTCCTCCTGGAATTCTTTGAAAATTGTTCTCACAGTCTCAGATTAACCCTTTAGCATGTTACCTACATTTTTACAGTAATCTGCCTTTAGTCTAATCTCATTCTTTACCCTGTTAAAAAGCAGTCCTTCTAAATAGTAAATTGGATCTTGAGACTTCCCTTCTTAAGCCATCTGTAACTCCTTGTCTACCAGAAAAAGTAGAGAATTATTTGCATACAGTTTTTCAGTTTGTCCCTGTGCACCTCTCCTAACTCACTGTTTGGCATCTTCGCTCCCTTTATATTCACACCATATCTACTTCTTTCACCAGACTGAGATCTCCTTGGGGATAGAGTCTAAGATACATCTTTGTATTGTGGGGTCCAAGTTAGCACAATGCCTGGGATATAGTAGTTAGAAATGTTGATAGATGTCTAAAATCTTAAATTTAAAAATACATAGGGACTTTTCTGAATATCCTGCAAGTATTATTCACGTCTTGGTTTTTCATTACCTGGTAAGGTAGTGTTAACTTTAGATTTTTGTTTTCTAATAGAAACAATTAAAAGTTGTACAGAATTTCAGGATGACTGACACTTCTAAAGCTGTTCCCAATTTTGAAGAGATGTTTGCAAGCAGATTCACAGAAGCTGACAAAGAGTACCAGGAATACTTGAAACACCCTCCTGAGTCCCCTCCAATTATTGAGGAATGGAATAGCAGAGCTGGCGGGAACCAAAGGAATAGAGGCAATCGGTATGTATTACTTCAAGAGAATAAATGCAGATGCTTGACTGTGAGGCTTGTGAAGGCAGCAGCCAATGTTCTCAGTGTGGTATACCTATTGCCTAGCAACCAATCATCCCAGTGTGGTATACCTACTGCCTAGCAACAGTGCCTGGCACATAGCGGTGCCATAAATATTTATGGTACTGGGCATTGAACCCAGGGCCTCATGCATACTAGGTGAGTGCTCCACCACACACGCTGCACCCCTGGTCTATATATGTCCTTTTTAAGCTGTGCATGGTCATGGTGTGTGTGTGTGTGTGTGTGTGGTCCTGGCACATAGGAGGCAGAGGCAGGAGGATTGCACATTTGGGGCCAACTGGGGCTACATGACAAGACTCTGTCTCAAAACAAATAAATGAAAAATATATGTCCTTTCTGTAGACTTTCTTTGCAAATACACTTTGAAACGTAGAGTCTTTGTGCTTGGTTCCATAAAGGTATGTTGTGATTTTACTATACTTTAGAGAGTTTTATATAGTGGAAATTCTATTTAATAATTAAGGATAATCAAAGGAATAAATTACCACTGGTTTTGTACAATTGAATAGCTTTCAGTTTGGTTCAGAACTGTTGAGTAGCTTGGATTTATTTGCTCCTTTCTCTGTAAAGTGTATCCAGTATGATACTGAAAGAATGATTTAAATCTTAGGGAAGTTTGACTAACTGGTACTGTAATGTTTTATAGAGACAAATGTTTTTACTCTAGTTTATTGTGCATTATGACCTGGGATAGACTTCTCATGTTTAATTTTCTTACCAGGAAAGTTTAAACACCTTTTTGTCTTATTGTCATAGGTTGCAAGATAACAGACAGTTCAGAGGTAGGGATAGTAGACGGGGATGGCCAAGTGACAATCGATCAAATCAGTGGCACGGACGACCCTGGGGTGACAATTACCCGCAGCGCAGACGAGAGCCTTACCCTCCACAGCAATATGGACAGTATGGCTATGGCCAGCCTCCCTACGGCTTCTACTGATGGAGGTGTCAGCAGCCTTTAGCAGAGCCGCTCACCCGTTAATATGAAAGATATGTGTGTCTTTTGTTGGTTGTCATTTTCCATCCTTTTCTAGAGACTGGATTATTAATTTTTTGGAACTCGAGACTTTAAAAAAACATTAGACAGGTATGGTGGTTGCTGGGAATAAATATTACCCTCCCCAAAGAAAAGTGGGTAATACTCTTGATTTCAAACTTAGATTCTTTTGTTTCATGGTTTAGTACTGCTTTAAGTTTGTATATTTTCCTTGTTTGACCTTCAGGAGTTCTGTCTTTAACACAGAAATAAAGACTTTAAAATTGAAAATGCTTGTTTTTACTTTGTAAGAGAAAGTAATAACCATGTATATAGATGGACTTGTTTCTAAAGTTCTGTAGAGGTTAATACAGCCAGTTTGTGAATGCACAGCTATGCTTACTTAAATAGTGTATGCTAGGTAAAACAGTCATATTTCTTGAGGCTTTCGTTATGTGACGCTAGTTTTTGATTACTTGCTCTATAGGCGGGAGTGAGCACCTCAATTAATTTGGACACTCTTTAGAGGGAAGTCCAGAATAAAGCTGTGAGCCAAGCACTAGTGGCTCATGTCTGTCATCCTAGCTACTCAGACATCAAGAGAATCGTGGTTTGAAACCAGTCTTGGGCAAATCTTGAAAAACCCAACACACAAAAGGTCTGGTGGAGTGGCTCAAGTGATAGAGCACCTGCCTAGCAAGCATGAGGGCTGAGTTCGAATCCCAGTAAGACTGAAATGAGGGAGGACTTGTCCTCAGCATTGTGATCTGGTGGTGGCAGGTTTAGGACCCACAGCACTTTGTACAAAATTTAGGCTTTTTGCTAACAAGTGTAGCGGGGAAGGAATTTGAATGTTATACAAAAGTTTATAATACTGTAGTTTGACTCACTTTCTTGGTATTTAATGTGGGTTGATTTTATAAGGTTATACTCATTTCCAAGTGCATACTTTTGCTGCTTCCCCTACTATAAATAAAGTGATGGTGCTGTCACTTTCATCCTATGTGAAGTCATCCTAATGGTTTATTACAATAATTTTATTCAAATCATATTTAAAAGGATTTACATGACCTCACTCCTCAGTTTTGGCAGGCAGTCCCTTTATTCATTTGTTGAGATGTGCTACTTGGCTTTTTGTTACCTTGTCTTTTGTTGGAAAGTGATTCGTTTAATGGCAATATTAAGAGTACAAGTTTCAGCATGGGTCAAAGGAATTAGAAGTTTGCTTCCTAAATCTGCCTTTTCTCGTAGCTCCCCATTTAGGCTCTTGAAGTTGACTTTCCCAGGTACTTCTGCATGCTCTGGATCCATCTCCTCCCTCCACCTTCTTCTTGAAGAGACATCCTTTCAGGTAACTTACTGGAAATGATCTAATAAACCAGGTATTCACACTCAGAGGTAATAAAAATTGAACATAAGGTTCTGCCCCACCCCCTTTAATTATATCAGTAAAGAACAGGCTTGTGCTATTACATAAAGATAGGTCTAGATATTTAACCTGCATAGTCAGGAATGACCTGACTGTACTTCAGGATCTTCTCTGAACGCAGAGGGGAGAAAAAAAAGAATCAGCCAACTGATAAAGCCAGGTGCTGACCAGCTAGGACAGCAGCTGACTGGCATCAGCATCAGCTATGACACCATTACAGCTGTGGATTTTAGGACTTGTGATAGCACTTTGGAAGGTTGGACTAGTGAGGTGTAACAAACTATATTCTAGTCATCAACAAACATATTTGGTTTTTTTTTTTAATATCTTTTAACAGAAGTGTATTTGATATATATAAATATAGGTGATGACTTTGAAATAATAAATAGGCTTTGATTAATTCTGTGTGAAAAATGTAATTACATTGCTTACTCCAACAATCTTTTCTGTTTACAAACTTAGAAAATGTAAAAAATTCTTGTTTCTAGTTTTGAATGAATCAAGATCATAGGAGAAAGTACTCTTGACACTGGTGGAATATCCTTAATATTTAGATTAATGCTTCAGATTCAAATACAGTTTTATGTGACACTGTGTGATAACTAACCAAAGATTTTTCCTGGCTCCTGTATTATTACGGAACCAAATCAACAACTAGATCTGATTAGTAGATTATGTCATTGGACTCCAAGGGAAGCTTGAGAGCAAATATTTCCTCCTGTCTAGAAGTCTGCAGGGACCAGCTTTTGAGAAAAATAAGGATGTGAGATGAGAACCCTTGGCCTGGGCTACACTGGCTGCAGTAGGGCTGCAGCATGTGGGTTTGCCAGGGGTGAGCAAGAGGTAGCGCTCCAGCTGCTCTGTCGGGCTGAGGCCTCAGGTACCTGAGGAACATTCTTCCCTTTGAGGAGTTCAGTTATCTATGCTGTCAGAAGAGTGGAGATGAGCAGTGGAGGTTGAAATGGAGAGGAGACTGAAGTCCTTGAAATACAAGGATTTACAAGAATGTGACGACTTCTCTGGCCCCTTGTAGTGTTAAGTGAAAGTATACCATAAAAAGCAGGAAATCCTGCCATTTCTGGAAACATGGATGGACTAGAGGACACATTAAATGAAATAAGGCACAGAAAGACAAGTAAAAAGACAAAGTAAAAAAGATTAATCTCATACAAGTAGAGAGTATATCAGAGGTTACTAGAAGCTAGGAAGGGAACTGGGAGGGGGCAGAACATGGACAATGCATAAGAAAACAGAGGAAGAGGAGTGGTGCTAGTCTACAGCACAACTATTAGTTATACCTCTCAAAATAGCGAAGTCTGAAGGTTCCCAACAAGTAGATGGAAATGCCATTTACCCTGATTTGGTCATTACCCATTGTATCCATCTATCAAATTGTTGTACTATACCCCACCAACAAGTCAAATAGTAGATGTCAACTCCAAGATGAGAAATTTAAAAAGAGCATATAAAAGTATGCAACACTGCACTACACACATAACCGGTGGCCAGCCAGTGTCAGGTTTGTGCCTCCAGAATTGGAGGCTTCTCTGGTTGACTTGAATGAAAGTCCAGCTCGCAGATCTTTCAGTGTCATCTTGGGCTGATGACTAGCTTCAGCTGGTGTTTTCATTCCTGTCCCTGAGGGCACAGAGAGCCCCATGTATTAATTATCAGTTAGCTTTTCCCTGGGTTTCAGTGACTTCTCCAGAGACAGCACTGGGGAGGGTTTGATGATGGTCTCTTGGTATTTCCCACTGTGAATGCCTTTAACTCCCTACAATCTCCAGCCTTTGAACGAGGTTAATAAAGCTTTTGTCATCATTAAGGCCAGAGCTTTGTGTGTCTATTTTTCTCATTTGAAAGTTACGTCTATTTTGTGTGCATATAAATATAAGAAGTGAAAAGGTACAAAAATGAGTAATCTGCACTTAAGCTGCTGTGTATGCTTCTGTTTCACCATGATCACACAAATATTTAGAGATCTGATGAACATGTTTTTCCCTTCTCACTCATGTGGGGTAATATTAATGTGTTCTATATTTTCACACATAGAATTCCATATGCACTTAACAGTAGACAGCACTCTAGATCCGTGGTTATGGGTTAAACACTAATGAGTTAATTTTAACATATGAGTTTGCCATTGGTTATGATTTTTCCCGTAGGCAGGTGCTTGAGTTGTCTCTTTTTTTTCTTTTTTGCCCATACTAACAATGCTGCATTACTTTTCTATGTATATCATTTAGTGGGGGTTTTTTGGTTGTTTTTTAGTTTGTTTTGGTATTCTGTGGAATCTCTCAAGAGTAGAATTGTTGGGTTAAGAGTACATATTTAAAAAAAAACCTAATAAAAACAGAGATGTATTTTTGGTTTTAATAAACAGTGAACTTTTTATAAACACTAGTAATTCACACTCCAATCAGCAACATACAAAGCACATGTGTGTCTCTCCTCCCTGACTGACTTCAGCTGCTTGTCTGGGTGCTCACAAGCTTTCAGTCTGAAATCAGACTTCAAAAACAATTGAGTTAACGCCCTTCATCAATTATGTGTGGCTTTCTGCAACTGCGTATGGTGCCACCTCTTGGATGTGAACTGAAAATCTAGCTTCGTTTTTGTTTCTAGTCACATGCATGAAAAATCTGAATTTGGGGCCAATGTGGGGTCTAAAATTTACACTATGAATTATAACTAGGGAACCACTTACCAAACCTCCTGAAATCCCCAAGGGAGGATGCTGGTAACACACGGTCCAGAAAACCACCTCCTAAGGCCTGTGAGTTTTCAACTGTTTGGAACTTTAATCACTGCAACAGTGCCACATTCGTTCTCTGGTTCCCCTCCCACCCCCTACCACCAAAAGAGGTGTGGAATGTCCCACAGAAATCAGGAGTCCAAAATCTGCTCCTGCCTCCAGGGCAGAATAAGGCAGGTTTTTCCTTCCCAGGTTCTGACAAAGTACAGTGTGAACACCAAGTCACTATAAAATTTTGCATGAGTAATTATCTCTTATTAAGGTGGGGCGATAGATCACCATGATTACGAATCAATGTTGGACCAGTTGTTTTGAAACCACACAGGTCGCTTTGTAGACTGTAGCCAGCATTCACTTAGTTAAGGGCAATGGGTCAGGCTAGCATAGGGATATTTTGAAACATCCCAGAGGTTGCAGACTCTGTGCCCTTGGTGCTGTCCTTGCAGTTGGGTCTCCTTCAGTATTCTTGGGGGAGACCAGGACCCAGGTGAAGAAAGTTGCATAGTTAAACTTCTGTAGCAAGTCAAGGTTCCTGAGCCTCAGCTGTGGTCCACAGCATGGTGTGGAACGAGAAGCTGTTTAAGACCGCTGAAGACTACCTCATTTGCGGGGAAAGAAGGGACTCATGTTCTAGAATATAGCACCTGGGCTTGTTCCAGCCTCCAGCAAGTTTTTGATCCATCAAGTATTACTGTGATGCATCTCCTTAGAAAATACTATGTTTCTCAAAAAAAAAAAAAAAATTAAGCAAAAAAGTTCCCACTGAAATATGGCAACTTAAAGTAGAACCTGGCATGGTGGTTCACACCTATAGTCCCAGCACAAGAGGCTGAGATAGGAGGATCATCTGAGGCCAGGAGTTTGTGACCAGCCTGGGAAACACAGCAAGAACCCATCTTGGGGGAAGGGGGCGCAGATTTTTGTGAAACTGGTTTCTGTTCAGTATCCACTCCTTTCTACTTTTTCCGATTCTTTGTTTCTGAGCATGCTGACCCTATCTCCAGTCCAAGGATGGGTTTTGATTGGCCTAAAAGAATTAGAGTAATTCTCTTCTTTGTGTGTTGGGGGGGGGGTAGTACTGGGTTTGAGCAAGTAATCCTCTTTTATAAGTCACTGACTTAGGGAACTTACAGCACGGCATTCCTTGATCACAGCGGCTGGTTTAGAAATGCCATGTGACCTCATCTTGACTGAAATACAAGGGGCAGGTGAGTTTTTGAAAAAGAAATACCCGAGCTCTCCTGAGCAGCTTCTTTCTGCTGGAGGGCTGATAAACAGATGTGAGACTGGGAGCCATGGCCATGAGGATGAAGCTGCCATTACTGAAGAAGGGAAGGAAAAGCGCGTGGGTCCCTTATGACACACTTAGTCAAACTGACCATCTGTGGCCTCCAGACTTCACAGGTATGTGAGCACCATACTCCTTTATAGTTCAAACCAGGTAGAGTTGTTCCTGTTGCCTGTCCAAGAGGGCATCCCAACAGTGGGCCATGCAAGTTGCAAGTAAAATGTCTTTACAGCACACTCTGGAAGCGTTTGGAGACATGGTAGCTTAGACAAGGCAGGCAGCTGAGTTTGAAGCAAGCTTTGCCTTCAAGGAGCACCGTGATCTGGCGAGCACCTCGCTCTTGCCTTTGGTTCCTCACAGAGTAAGAGTTGTACTGACGAGCAGCTTGCAGCTCTTTTACCCTCAAGAGTTTTCATTACTGGTTATTCTTGTGGACTTTGTGTTGTGTTGTGTTTTGTTTCATGGCACTGGGGTTTGAACTTGGGGCCTCAGGCTTGCTGTTACCGCATTGATCCTGGATTTTGTATTTTTAATATCCGTTTTTGTGCCAGTTAGAAACGGACATGATCACTTTTAACAATCAAGTAATTACTACACAAAAGCACACACACACATCAGCAAAGGCAATTAAGATAGTCACTAAATTACCATAACTTGCACCAAATATGTAAAAAATATATTTATTATCTTTCTCAGCTATGGGTGTGATTTCTGATAGACTTTTACAAATACTGAAACCAGTTTCCAGGTTATTCTTTCTTGGAGGTAAACCTCCAAGGATCTTTGGAGGTTTGAAGATTGCCAAGTTACACTGAGAAGGAAGAAAATTCAGTGACTTCTCAAAAATAATTAACATTATTAATTACAAGTCTTTGATTTCTTTTTCACAAAATGCTCTGTAGTTTTAAAGAGATGTAAAAAAAAATTACACTTAGCTAAGCACCTTAAAATACAAGGTAAGACTAAGCAGTATGACAGGTTTTCTTGTCAGCTGTGAACTGGAGAAGGCAGTTCCCAGAATTCCATTTTACTTCACAATCATGTAGTGATTTTTGAGTCTGACTCGTGTGTATACACATTTCCCCTCTGTTTATTTGTACATTTAAATATATTTTCTTACTTAGCAGCTTCTTCATGAGGATGTACTTTTCATTTCTTGCTTTTATTTTTTTTCGGCTTCCTTTTTTAATTTCTCCAAGATCTCCTCTGGAGTTGTAGAGGCCAAAAGCTTCACCATCTTTTCACGAGACTTACCGCCCTGAACCACAAGGAAGAAAACACATTGAACCTTCCAGTGCTGGTAAGGACAGACCCCAGTGTACCCTTTGTAGTCATGCCTTCCTGGGGATGTCACAGACAGCCTTCCTTTACTACAAAACTGTACAACTCCCCAGCGTTTTTACCTCCATTTCTATAATGAAAGCTCAGCATTAAAATTTCAGAAGTGTGACCTATAACATTCTTGTGTCAAGTAATATGTGTTTAAAATACCAAACTACTGCAATTTAATATAAACTCTGTATGAAAATAAATTTTAAATATAATTTGGGGGGGGCAGCACTGGGGTTTGAACTCAGGACCTCATGCTTGCTGGGCAGGTGCTCTACCCCTGAGCCACTCCACCAGTCCCGTAAATTTCTATTCTCAGTATGGTGCATAATTCTGGAAATCTGGAACAAAGAACAACCACACATCTGAGTACTAGGATTTCACGGTCACTTAAAACAACTTTAAAAGAGACTTTTCAAACACATCTTTTAGAGAAGAGATTTATCTAGATGGGCAGAATGTGCCCAGGTAGATCTCAGAGTATGAGCACTGACAGAAAGTCAAACGTGACCTGCCACAGGTGGGGACCTTCTGGTGGGAACTTTGTCCTTAGTTCTTTTCCTTCTTAAAGTGAAAGAGGAAAGCAGCCTGATCAGATGGACCTTTAGGTGGAGTTTATTGATCAAGGGCTTACCGCCACCCAGATATGAGCTGTAAAGTGTAGCACTGGAAAATAAGCAGGACTGGGCCCAGTCCTACACAATCTGTTTCAGCATGTGTAGAGTGACGTGAGGTAATTTTGAAGTACAGAATCATGACACTGCTGACACCTATGAACCCTCTATCTTCCTGTTGAGCTTCTCTAGTGGGCAGAGTCAGTGTGGGGGATCAGAAGCATTGGTGGCACCACTTTAGACTGCGTTAGTGTAGCAAGGTCTTGAAGGAGAAGCGAGCAAGTTCAGAAATGGAGCTACAAAGGACAGAATGCTGGGAACGGAGGGTCAAATAGAGTGTGGATGGGTGAATGAGGACTGAGGGAAGACAGAAACTTGGCTTTCCAAGTTTCCTGAAGAAAACAGTATTTTATGAATCATAATTGATATGTAATTAAGATATTTAAAAAGAGAAAGAGACCTACCTTATCCAAAACCACATCACTCTTCCTGAGTCCTAAGACCTTGCAAAGATACCGACAGAGCTCAGCGTTGGCCTCTCCCTCTGAGGGAGGCGCTGCAATGGCTACACTTACGGCGTCAGTTGTCAAATCTGGAAGGAAGTAGTGTGGACTTTTATCCTTAAGGACTTTTCTTTCTTCACAAATTGAGGAACAGTTGTCAAAGGGTTTGCTTTTGCCTGACACACTAGATTTTCAATCATAACAGTAGTGGATAATAAACTGGTTCTATCCCCAGCACCAAAAGACTTTAGTGACAACATGAAAAATCACACTAGTCACACTGCTGGGGATGTAAACATGATGAATGTGCCTCTGCCATCACAGAAAATAAGCCAGAAGAGAGAGCCACAGTTTGCCCTGCCCTCCTGACCAGGATGGACCTCACATTCCAGGAAGTGTCTTGGATTTAAACAACTGGAAATCGCACTTGATCTAACAGCAGGTGTTCCAGGCAGGAAGTCAGAAGAGTTGGGGCTTCTGTCCCGACAATGCCATTGCCCAAGTGCACCGACAAGGTGCTCCCTGGATTGTACTTTGTTGTTCAGGGTTTGTGCCTCAGGAAAAGGAGAGTGCTGCACTAGGTTCATCTCTTATCTGATGTGCATCTTGAGTGTTTTTTAAAATTCAATAATGTTCATTCAGCAAACATTCTGTAGCAATTACCATCCACTACTTTTAAATACACATAAACACACCCACAGGGCTTTACAGATACTAACTTAGGCCTCACAATAACTTCATGAAGACATTCATACCCTTATCATCTCCACTGTGCAAGTGAAGACACTACAGCAAGCGACGTGCCCTGCAGTCCTCCACCGTCACCAGGAGAGTGAAGTAATCACTCCAAGCACTTGTAAATGAGTAAATGAGGATGGGCTGATCCTAACCTGGGGGTTCAGGCATTTCTACACTCACACTCGTGTAAACCACACAGCTAGACTCCATGAGAACGAGATGGTTCGACAACTGTCCACCCATCTCATCTCTTCTCCGATAGAAAAGAGTTTAGATGGGGTGAATTTTTCTCTTAACTAAAGCACGTAAGCTGTAATTTACGCTGCCTTGGATTTCACTGTGACAATGCTGACCACGGACAATGTGGCCAGCAGAGACCAGCTCACCACTTCTGCGGTATTACTTTCAAAATATAAAAATAATTTGGTATACAGAGCTTTAGAGGTGATATAGACCTTCAAGGCAATTCAGATCTTTTTTTTTTTTTTTGGTGGGACTGAGGTTTGAACTCAGGGCTTTGCTCTTGCAAAGCAGGCACTCTACAGTTTGAGCCACCTCCGGTCCATTTTTCTCTGGTTATTTTGAGATGGGGGGTCTCGAGAACTATTTATCCAGACTGGCCTCAAACCTCAATCCTCTCAAGTAGCTAGGATTATAAGTGTGAGCCGCCAGAAGCCGGCTCAGATCAATGATTTAAAAAAATTTTTAAGCTCACATGGGAACTGATCAGGGCCTCAGATCATAGGTTTTCTTCCACTCCTTAGATCAGTGGCCATTGAACCAAACCAAAATGTCTCTTCTTTCTCTGGCTGGTGTCTCCAGTTTTGGAACAGGGCAAACTCCAAATAATCTAGGTTATCATGTGTTTCCATGTGTAGTTCCTAAAACACCATTCCCCCTCCCCCTTGTGGTCTCTTGAGACAGAGTTGTCAGTAGGTGGCCCAGACTGGCTTCGAAATGCTGATCCTCCTGCCTCAGTCTCCCAAGTGCTGGGATTAAAATATGCACTACTATGCCCATCTCTAAAACACCGTATTTCAAAAAAGTAAGAGACAATGGTTTCCATCCAATTGGGTATGCGCTCCCTTTCAAATACCTTTACGTTTTAAAATCTCCAGTTTAAAAATGGGGAAGCCTCCAAACGCAGATGTGAAAAAACAGACTCGCCTGCCACAGGCCACACTGCCCGCTGCTGAGGCAGAGGGCGCTGGAGGCCCCCGAGCGTGCGGGAGCCCAGCCCGGGGTTGACGTGTACCTGTCACGGCATTCTGTCTGGAGCCAGGCTTGGCATGGATGGCTATAGTGACACAGCCTTTAGCATCAACCGCCACGGGACCCGCGGGAGGAGGTGATCTCTCCGGTCCCTTGCTGTGATCTTTACCCTAAAATGACAAGGACCACACACCTTCACAGGTCACACACACCGAGTCCTCCGCCGCCCCCGCCTTCAAGACACACGGGGCTTAGCGGCGGAGTCCAGGGCTTCCGGCCACCAAGGAGGCGTTTCCTTCCAAGGCTCCGCCAAGCCCACGCGAGAGGAGGGGTCCTCCAAAGTGCTGCCCACGCTCCGCGGGCCCCGCCCCACCCTCCGCCGCCACGGGACTTGCCACTGGCCTTAGTCGTCGCACCAGCTCGCTTGGGCATCTCGGCGCCAGAAGGAAGCCGAGCGGAGACAGGAGCGCCGGGTCCGGCCCCGACCTGCCGCAGCCCAAAGCCAAGACGCAGCATCCCCAGCGGGGCTACTGCGCGGAGCCGCCCGGGCCCGGAAGGGCTTCTGCGCCTGCGCACGCGACGAGCTTGGGGGGCGGGGGAAGATCCGAGCCCGGAAGGGCTTCTGCGCCTGCGCACGCGACGAGCTTGGGGGGCGCGGGAAGGTCCGAGCCCGGAAGGGCTTCTGCGCCTGCGCACGCGACGAGCTTGGGGGGCGGGGGAAGGTCCGAGCCAGGAAGGGCTTCTGCGCCTGCGCACGCGACGAGCTTGGGGGCGGGGGAAGGTCCGAGCCCGGAAGGGCTTCTGCGCCTGCGCACGCTGCGAGCGGAGTGGCCCCAGGGCTCGCTCGTCCGCCCCGCCTGAGAGCGACGCCTCGCGGCCGGCGGGACCTGCGCCTCTGCGGTGTGATCACGTCCCAGCGGGCGCTCATGTCTGAGTGTGGGGAAAGTGATGTTGCTGCTTCCCCGGATTGGAGCCAGCGGACAGCAGCTCCCGGGGACAGGCGTCCGCGCGCCTCTGCAGCGGCCTCCACGGTCACGGATGGGTAGGGAGCCTTGCGCCGCGAGCCCCTGGGGTGCATTCCTGCTACACCTGCTTTGCGCCCGACGCGAGCGGTCGGCCCCCACAATGTGAAAGGACAGGAGGGTGTCGTGGCGTGTACTGAGGCGGCACATGAAACTGGAGGTCAGCAGAGGCGAGACCACAGGGTCGCTGTGAGGTTAGGGGTCAGCAGAGGTCGAAAACCGGCCACCCGATGAGAGGGGAGGGGCGATTGGCCCCCAGCAGCCCTAAGACCTTCCGTACCTGGACGGACAGAGCTGGGGCTGACAGACCCGGGAACGCGAGTGGAGTCCAGGAAGATGCCCAGGTTTGGGCGTGGGCAGGTCTGGGGTGAGTTGAGTTTCGGATATAGTGGAGATGACTGGGACACCGAGTACTAAGGAGCTAATTGAATCAGTAGCTGAAGCACATCTGACTGGTGATGGATTCCGGAGGCCCGAGGACAGACGGCAATGACGTCATCAAAACGGAGCCCAGAAGACAGGGAGAAGCCAGCACAGGGCCCCGTCGGAGGACAGTGTGATGACAGCTAGGGGAGGATGATGCGGGAGGGAGAAGTCAGCAGTGGTGGTGGCGGAGGACGTGTACAATAAGTACGATTTAGAAAACGGTTGGTGCTGGTTGGTGACCCAGGCTGGAGCAGGAGTGAAGAGGGGAACTAGATGACTATTTCGGTGACGTCACTGTGAAGGAGTAACTGGCATCTCCGTTTCTGGACACCTGGCTCTCAGGGACTTTATTCTCTAAGCTAGACAACAGTTTAGCCCTATTTAGAGACTGCCAGGAAGGAGCCAGAGGAGACTACACCCCAGGCTTGGAGGTGGGGAGGCGTCTGAACATGGGTGGAGAAGCTTGGGGGCACAGGTAGGTTTAGTAGTGGGACCTGCAGTTTCTTTCGTTAGCTAAGGATGGGGAGGTGTTGAGAGAGGAGCAGACTTAGCCAAGAACTTTGGACAATGGCAGAAAGCTAGCTGCTGAGACTCATCCAGTAGCACTATCTGGTTAAGGTTGGAAGCCATTAAGTCACTAAGGTCCCAGGGCCTCACACATGGTGAGCACACGTTCTGCAGCTGAGCTACACCCCCAACCCATCACATCACTTTCAATGCCTGGGCTAAGCAGCTAAGGCAAACAGGATTGATCCGGGTGTGCAGAGGGGTGAGGGTTACTGAGGAGGTTAAGACCAAAGGTGGAGAAGGGGGAAGGGACCCAAGGTACGCTTACCTGGGGAGGGAAGGAAGTCAAGAGAGTTGGCAGCACAGAGATCAGGGGCTGCAGTCTCCAGGCTCACTGATGATGAGTCAGAACTGGAAGAAGCATCAAAGGTTGTGGAAGAGTGGGAGGTCTAGAGCCTGAAGGCTTGAGCAGAAGAAAGCAAGCCAGGTGGTAACACAACTACATTTCCTTTCTTTGAAGTTAACTACACTGCAGCCACTGGTAGAATATTTTGGGTGAAATGGCCTAAATTAAGCACTGGAAATAAAGGGGGTACTTGTGATGTGAATTATTAATGGTATCTGCAAGTGCTAGCTGGATGAGGGGAGAGGCTTCCTGTGACAACATTCAGCCTTTCCCACAGGATCTTCCAGAGCAGGTTATGAGAACTTTATCACAGCAGCTGGGAAGAGGAAGAACATGAGCCCATCTGTGGCTCAAGTCTCTCTGGAGCCCACAGCATGGAAAAGTGAGAAGAAATACTGCTTAATAGTGAGAAAAGAACAGCAACTATGACCCAAAAGGCAGAGAATCACCGCTAAAGGTTTATGTGGGTTCCATTTTATTTTTAAATCTTATTTTTTAAGTGGAATTTAAATAAAACTCCATCTTGACTTAGCTTTGCCAGTGGAGAAAAAGTGAACAGGATTTTGTTTAAGCATGTGAACTAGGAGAGAGGAAATGCAGTAGTGGTCCAGTAGTGGACTGGACGGGGGCTGGGATGGCAGTGGCTCTGTCCCTCTTGTAAAGGATGCATTGTGTCTAAATAGGGCATGGTTCCCAGGATTTGAATCTGGTAAGTACACAGAGACCCAAAAACTTGTTTGAAGGAGTAAACACTAGAAAGGGTAGTGGAACAAGTAAGTTTTAGACATTTTGCATTTGATGTACAACATTGGAAGGCCTTACTCTCTAATTATGCAGACCTAAAAGAAAACACATTTTGAAAACACAACCCATCGACTTGTTGGGTAGACACTAGAACTTCACACTTCCTTAGAAAGTATATTCCACAGAACATACAAAGTTTGAAATGTTTTCAAGTGTTACTTGTTTTTGTGGTACTGGGACTTGAACTTGGGGCCTATATCTTGAGCCACATTTCCAGCCCTTTTCTGTGATGGGTTTTTGAGATAGGGTCTCAAGAACTATTTGCCTGGGCTGGATTCAAACCTTGATCTTCTTGATGTCTGCTTCCTGAGCACACAGAATTATAGGCCTGAGCCACTGGCTCAGCAAAATATTTTTATTTTTCAACCCAGCAAAATATTTTCTGGATTCTATCCTTTGGGGGATAAAAATGGGCTTAAATTTCACCATGCGCCACTTCCTGATCTTTTAAATGAGAATTTGTCGTGAAATGGATACTGTTATGCTACTCCACACTGATTCTATGACACAATGTGTGAAGCTGTTAGCGTAGAGCAGTCATCACTCAGGTCCTTATCACGCACACAGTGGGGACTGACCTCAGGGCCTTGGGCACACTGGCAAGTATTCTACCACTGAGCAACACCCGCAGCCCCGGCTGCTGCACTGTCAGAGTAAGTAACAAGATTATTCTTCACATTTCTTCATTCGCAACCTTTTAGAATAAAATAGAGAAAACCTGACACCATAAAGTGATCAAGAAACAGAGGGCAGTGTGCTTACTACAGTTCCTGTCAATTGCTTTCAGGCAACTAGAAGGCATTCTTATTTTGTGCTGTGTTACTGCCATAACTTGAAAATTAAGTTAAAGCTCAAATACAATCTTTGTTCCGCACTGGTGTTTTAGATTCAACTTTCAGAAGAAAAAGATGCCAAAGGTAAAATAAAAATGATAGTATGCATTTATTTTTAAGTTCCAGGTGATGTCCCATCTTTAGCAAATGGTTCTGTTTCTTGCACCGTCTGTGCCTACACTGAGTTACAATTGTTCAGAAACACACACAGGCATGTGAAATGTTAAAAAAAAAAAAAACACACCCTTGTCTCTGGTGCACGTACTTTTTAAGGGAGAAGAGCTTTCTGTAATAGTCACTAAACATTGCTTGTTAATCTTTCATCAGGCAGAACCACATGTTCCATAGGTATTCCAGTTAATTGAGATTTATATCCAGACAAAAATTTCCTTTTTCTTCAGCAATTTCATGAGACCTTGGCCACCACACCTCTACCTTCTTGAAAATATAACATATTTCTTTTGATGAAACATTTTTATACCCTAATTTAGGAAAAAAATTTTTGATACTGAAAATAATTTTGATTTTTAGTCATCTTCCACAGCTATCTTATACCATAAGCTTATTTGTAATGGATACAAATGTTATTTTAAGCTTAATTACACTTGTTGTTTTAATAAGATAACCACTTTCAAGGGAAAAATGTTATTTCATTTACATTTTAAAAACCTGCCTTATATAAAAGTGTAAGTGTCACTGTCAGATGTACTTCCACACCTCACAGAGGTGTGCCATGGATATTAACACATTTTCTCCGTGGACAGACCGTGCATGTGGCAGGGAGAATGACTGCTGGACAGCACTATCACCTCAAAGTAATTGTTAGAAATGCTGAGTACTTCCTCCTCCCTGTGGGACAGACAGGTGGGCTTAGTGACATGGAATGGTCTTATGCTCACCTCTGCATCCTCTTTTGCGTCACGTTGCTGTGGATTTGCACAAGCTCCACTGCAGCTGAAGACCACCACGCAATACACCCCCAGACCATCACAAAGTGCCTGTCTCTGTCTGCAGCCAACATTTTCTTGGGTTTGTCTTAGGCCTATTTTTAGCATTACTTCAAATGCTAACAACCAGACATTTTAAAACCCCAACTAGAAAGCCAGTTTTCTTAATTTTCTAAAGCTGGGTTAGTAGGAATTCTGCAGGAATATTGACCCATCTCATCTCACCTCACCTTCCAAACAGTTAAGAATGAAAAAGCCAAACCTGCTATGTGTATCAAGAGTCTTTCACCTTTCACTATTCAAAGACTGAGTCAGTTGGTTCAAGAGGAAGCTGAAACAGCTGTGCTTTTCACAAATTAAACCCATTTGTCTTTTTCCTCCAGGGTTATAAGAAAATGGAAAATCTGCCTTTAAGTCATGCAGAGATTTAAATCAACATTTTTCTACTTCCTCTAAGAAACCAAAATGTTTCTTATCCTACAGTTATAAATATTTATGACACTCAAACTATCTTTTGTGGCAATTATTTACACTTTTGAGACTGGACTGTATGATGCTATTTAGCCAAGATATAATATAATGCTAAATTATGTGTAAAATATTATTTCTGGTATTTGCCCATCTTCTATGGATGTGCCGTTATTGTTGCCAGGGGAACTGAAAAAGAAAAAAACAGTCTTGCTTGCAGCAGGCGTCTCATGCACCACCTTCTTCAGTCCTTTTGTGCCATAGTGAGAATCTGGACCCTGACAAGAACAAAAGCTCATTAGCGATTGCTGAGTAATAAGCAGCCAAGTTACGGTGGTGCTACGATTACATTAATGATCTGTTATATCCTTGATAGCTCCTGTATATGTATAAACTTTATACAGAGTCATTTAATGAAAAACGAAACTTTTGCATGAAAGCTAATTAATGAGTAAAAATACAAGAGTGCACAGCTCGGACATTAGAAAACAGTGAGTAGGTTTTAAGGAGACAGTTATTTTTGCTTCTGTCACACGTTCAATTTCCCACTCAAACAAAGGGCGGGGGTGGCTCTTTAGGAAGAACCTTCCCTCAGAGAAGTGGTGCTAAGCAGCACTTCTTTTCTTTAAAACAAAGGAGCCAAATCTGGTGGCCCACACCTGCAATGCCAGCTACTCAGGAGGATCTTGGCTCAAGGCCAGCTCAAGTGAATAGCTCGACAGACCCTATCTCCAAAATAACCACAGCAAAATGGACTTAGGCATGGCCCAAGAGGTAGAGCACCTGCTTTCAAAATGCAAAGTCCTGAGGTTCAAACTCCAGCCCTACCAACCACTACATGAAAAAAAAAGCAGTGGAGTAAGTGGGAGGCCTGAGTTCAAACCCAAGTACTGCCAGAAACAAAACAAAAGACTTCTGAGATCAGAACTTAAAACACAAAAATCACCAAGAGGAGGGTGAATGTAGTGGAAATATCATGTACTCATGTATGAAAATGGGAAAATGACACCTGTTCAAACTATTCCAGGAATGGGGGGAGGGGAGATAAAGGAGGATGATGGAGGGGGAATTCAACTATGATGTACTATAGGAACTTTGGTAAATGTTACAATGTACCCCCAGCACAACAATAATATGATAATGAAAAAAATTTAAAAAATCAGCAAGAGCTGTAGCAAGGCACACTGTAATTAAACAGCTCTACTGTCTGTGACTCTGGGCTCTAAACCACGCTTTCTGTGAACACTCAGGAGAGACAACAGCCTCTGGAACACCGAGTGACTTACCTTGAGTGTTGCGCACGCTGTGTAGCACACATTGGGCAGGATCTCGATGGGCTCTTTGAACATGACCCTGAACGTGTTAGCAGTCCCATCACAACTAAATCCAGTATCATTCTGACCCAGAGTTTGTTTTTTTTCATATTCAATGATCTGTAATTTTTGAAAGAGAAGTTAAATTTAAGTTAAACTAACTGAAACTAGGTTTTGTAGAAACCATCCTGGTATCTTAGCCACTGCAGGTAGACTACTAGTTTTCTGTGCTCTAGCTTCTCTCTACTTACCTCTAACCCCCAAAGACGGCTCTATGTATGCTGTCAAAGTGACTACCATTCACCACAGGAGGGCTGGGGAGGCTGGGCTGTGAGAGAGAGGAGCTACCATGGTGTTTAGAATTCAGATTTCAGATGTCATTTTAAACGAGCCTTTACTCTGTGCTACCCTATGTCTCGTTCCTAGGAAAATTCCCTTACTATTTCCTATGAGTCAACGTTATTTACTGAAATTAAAATGACTGTAAATGCAGTATGTCTGTGAAAGTTCAAAATGTAAAAATTCTGTCTTTTCAACTGAGTTCTATCAAATGTACTAAGCTGTGTCAGGCACTGAGGGACACCGGGGAAGTCACAAAGACGGTGCCTATGGTGAGACGAAGCAGCCAAGCACAGCAAAGCTGCTGTGCACGCCACAAGGAGCTCCACGTGACTGTTGCAGAAGCTCTGGTAAAGCTTGTTACCAGATGCCGAGGCAGCTCGACAACACCTGCCTTTCTGCACTCATTACACAAAACAGTGCTAAAGCAGCTACACAGTAATTCCCTGTTCCCGTGTGTCATGGTTCAGTAAAAACCTAAAGACATGACATGCTGGTGGCAAGAAGCCATGAGACAAGGCATCTGGTTATGACTGCAGTCCACAGCAAACCACTCTCGCTTCTCCCTCCGAGCTTCAGTTTTAGCTTTCAATTTGGGGGTGGGCGAGGGGACCCTGCTTTGCCTTCTTCAGTCCTAAGATCATTGTAAAAATCAAATTACAACAACCTGTCATAGCAACACTTCACATACATCTTGTGCAGATCTCCCACAATTTTAGATAGGTGTCAGCTGACCATAAGAGCAGATAGGAGACTGAGACTTAGATTGTATTATTTGCCTTGTCACTCCTCTCAGCGGACGGAGCTGAGGCAGATGGAAATCTCCTGAAGATGCCAAAGCATCCACAACAAGTTGTGTTAGCATGTGGGTGTGTTCTCACCACTTACCTGTAGCCATCACCGTTAACCTACTTAGACGTGCTCTCCTCAACATTGCCATCCCGTGGAGTTATTGGACAGTTGAGATGGAGTAACAGGGTCCTTTTATTTGGTTTTTTTTGTGTGTGTCACTGGAAACTGAGCCCATGGCCTCTTGAGCCACACACCCCGCCCCAGCCAAGAGTGTCCTTAAATGATGTGAGTGCTCTGGTAAGTGCTCTGGTCAAGGAGTCTGCCATCTTTCTTTAATGGCCCACAGAGCTAAGGACAGTGGATGCGGGTTGACTATTGCATTAACATTTTCCCCTCCTGGTGAGGATAGGTAAGACACCTAAAAAACTAGCTAGCATTTGTTGCCCTTAATTCAGAGAAACTAAAGCAGATACCTTAAAGCAACTGAGGCCAATAGGAAAAGGGGACCAGGAACTAGAGAAAAGGTTAGATCAAAAAGAATTAACCTAGAAGGTAACACCCACACACAGGAAATCAATGTGAGTCAATGCCCTGTATAGCTATCCTTATCTCAACCAGCAAAAACCCTTGTTCCTTCCTATTATTGCTTATACTCTCTCTACAACAAAATTAGAGATAAGGGCAAAATAGTTTCTGCTGGGTATTGAGGGGGGGGAGCGGGAGGGGGTGGAGGGGGTGGTAAGGGAGGGGGTGGGGGCAGGGGGGAGAAATGACCCAAGCCCTGTATGCACATATGAATAATAAAAGAAAAATGAAAAAAAAATAAATAAAACTATGATCTTTAAAGCAAAAAAAAAAAAAAAAAAAAAAAAACATTTTCCCCTCCTGCTCTTGTGTAACACACAGGCTTCAGCACTTTACGGCAATGCTTTGAAAAGTACATGGCTCCCCTTTCACTACAAGATGACGTGGCTCTCCACAAAACAAGCAGATGAACAAGAACAACTCACAGCAAAGTGCATCTCTGTTATGCCTACCTGCTACTTGCACAGTACAGGCTTTTCTTTTTGTACCTCATGTCTATGGGAAAGGATCCTGGATGAGCATTAAGAAAAAGCCCTCTAGGTGCTTCTATACGACTCACTGACTTCAAAGAAACTGACTTAGAGGAATTGAAATTACAAAGGGTTGAATCAAGGGCCCTATCTGCTGCCAACAGATGGCTCGTATTCAGAGAAGTTTCCCACAGTAATGGCTTTTACTGCAGAGTTAAAGAAAGCTTGTAAAAGCTGGTAAGCATCAGAATTTAACTTCAGACTGGCCTTGGGTGGCCTCACGGCGTGAACGCTCCTAAACATTCTGAAATACTGGTCAACACTTAAAGCCCTGAGAGATTTCTTATGAAAATCTACCCTGGCTTCTTGGCATTCCTGGGCCCTGACTCCTGCACTGCAACTCCTGGCAGAGCACAGTAGCAGCTGCATGTCAATACTCCAGTCTGCACAACTCCTTCCTCTTCCTGCTGTCTCTGTTACACCAGGCTGGCTTCTCCATTTAAAGTGATCTGTCTGGGCCCTGGCAGGAATCTGGATTTGCCACTTGTGATACAAAGGAACAGGTGGCTGTAGGCAGTGCATCTGGAGCAGCTATGAGACTAGCTATGGGGTAAGACAATAAAGAAAACTTGTCTCTATTTATTTCACTCACGTATTTAGCCTTTATTGTTTTAATATACCTATAACTTCGGCCTCAAGGGCTCTGCCCCTTGACCCAAGCCTCACACCTTTTGCTTTTTGTTGTTGTTTGTTTTCAGATAGGGTTTGATACTTTTCCCCAGGCTGGACTCAGACCACAATCCTCCTATCTCTGTCTCCCACATAGCTGGGATTATAAGTGCACACAAGCACACCTGGCTGGCTTGTTTTTGAGATATGCTACCTTTTGCTCAAGCTGGCTTCAAATGGCTATCCTATTCCGCCTGAGTAGCTGGGACCACAGGTGTGTACCAGCATGCCTGGAGAGGCTCTTAACAATTTTCTCTCAAGTATGTAAGCTGTAATGGGGAGTGACTGAAAATCTTTTACAACTTTCAAAGGTCTCCTGAGTTTTTTTCTGCACCTAAAAAACACGAAAACAATTTTCTAGCCTGTTTTAAAATCCATCAAATAATCTCAGTGGGTTTAAAATGTATTTACTGCTGGAGGCATGGCTCAAGTGGGATAGCACCTGCCTAGCAAGTGTGAGGCACAATACTGCCAAATAAAATGTACTTGTGCTAAGAGTATTAAAAATGTAATCTTCTAATGGTGTGTAAGAACACAATTTGCCACTACATTTAAAATGAGCATGGCACCGTGACAGCACACCCACCAACACCCCTGCTCTCCCTTTGCAGCAAGCTCTCCTTTGAGCACTGAGGTGTTATTTTTAGCTGTCATCAAGCCACGTCTTTGAATTATTGTATTAACATCATATAAAACTGTTAGAACAGTTGGTAATACTTGGATCACAAGGTCTGCCAAAGTTTTAATATTAAAATTATCCATCAGTAGCATTTTAGAGGGCAGTTTTTTTGTTGTTGATTAAGGTTTGAAGCTTTTACTTCCCTTTCTTGCACTTTTCATGCTTTGTGTATGAAACACACAACAGTACTGCATATAGTGCACGTATACAACTACAACGTGGACATGTTTTCAAATACACTTTGCTAATGGGGAAGGGAAAGGAAGGAGAGTGGATTTAACTTTCTTCTAGATTAGGCACTGTTGCCCCAGCTGAGGAGGTGAGGTGGCGCAGACCTAAAGAACAAGGAAGGCTCTGGTCAGACACTTCCAAGTCAAGTTGGTGTTCACAGTAGCTGGAAGCAATGAGATAGTTTCAACCCTCAAGCTCAAAGTACTAGGAATACAACAGAAAGGTGCTCTAGATGGTCAGGGTACAACAGGAAGTACTAACAGGGTCACCTGGACAAAAGGAACTACTGGACACCAATGCTGTTGCCAAGAATTGCAATTTTCTGCAACCAGTTTGTTTGTTTGTTTCTTTTTTTTTTTTTTTGCAGACTGGGGTTTGAACTCAGGGCCTCACACTTGCTAGGCAGGTATCACTTGAGCCACTCCACCAGCCTTTTTTTGTGATGGGTTTTTTTTTTTTTTTTTTTTTTGAGACAGATAAGGTCTCACAAATTATTTGTCTGGACTGGCTTCCAACCCCAATCCTCCTATGCCTCCTAAGCAGCTAGGATTATAGGCCTGAGCCAGTGGTGCTGGCTGCAAGAAGATTTTTTACATCAAGTATAAATCAGAAACCTCTAGGCTTAAAATGCTACTAATCAACTTTCTGACTCCTCTGATAATTACACTGACGTGTGGACTTGGGTCAAGATACCACCTTATTGCAAAATTACTGTTTGTTATATTTCAAGTTGATAAATGCAGAAGAGGTGTACCTGTATATTCACTTGATAATCCGTGGGACCATGAATAGATCCATATAAGCCAAATCCGACTACAGAGATTCTTCTATTAACTGTGAACCTGAGAGAAAAGAAGCCAAATATAAAGCAGTGTAAGCAATCCCGTTGTGTTCGTATTCTGAAAGTTTGTAATTTTAGGTGTTCCTTTGAACATCCACTTTTGCATATAAAAAAGAAAACTACCACAAATCAGATCCCAGTTTGCTTACAAATGCAGTAAACTTCCTAGGACCCTAAGTAGAATGTTCTCTGTACGTAAGAGGAGTTTAACCTAGACACCCACTCTTGTGATAACAGTAAGGTCAGTGCTGCCCTAGTCCAAATTCACTTGCACATTCTTTTTGTGAACATGCCACAACCATCAAGACTGAAGTCCAGGCTGGGGGCAGTGGTAGGCAGAGATGGGGAGGATCACTTTGAAACCAGCCTGAAAAATAACTAGAGCCGAAAAGAGCTTGGGGTGTGACTCAAATGTTAGATCAAGTGCAAAGTCCTAAGTTCAAACCCCAGTATCACCAAAAATACAAAAACCAAAATAAAAAAAAAAATGGAAGTGTCACAGATAATCTCTTGTGGTGCGAAATGAGTCTTCTAAACAGTTTTAGCCACGATTTCAATGATTAAAACATCCTGGGCACTTCACGCCTTGAGCACCTCCTGGGTGCCAGCCACCAGCTTCCTCTCTGACCAGACTCACTTCCTCCAGTCACCCCAGGGCCCTGTAGGCCGGCTCCCTCCAGTTACGCACCAATGGCTGCTGGTGCTTTGATGGTAGTATCTGGTATGAAAGCTTTGCGTTTGTCCTGCATCTTTAATTCCATCATGATTTTGGACATACAACATCTCCATTGCTTACAGGCACATTGTGATCCACCCCAAGTTTATGGAGAGGCCGACCTCCCCTGCTCCCACATTCCATCATTCCTATTCATTAATGTTAAGCTTTAATTTACATGAACATTGGTAAGTAGAGTCAGCAAGGATCTGTATTTTCCCAGTGGTCAACCCTTCCCCACTTTTCTCATATTCTCAGTGCTTATTTGTGTTAGGGTGGTTTCTGACCTCCCTAGTCGTTCCATGTTTGATCTGTAGCACTCTTCTTCTGGTGGCAGGGACAGCAGCACTGGGGTTTGAACTCAGGGCTTTGCACTTGCCCCCAGCAAGTGCTCTACTGCCTCCTGTCCTTTTTTGCTCTGATTATTTTTTAGATGACCTGGATCCTCGTATCTTAAGCTTCCCACCATAGTTGGAATGACAGGCACACACCACCATGCCCAGTTTTCTGTTGAGATAGGGTCTCGTGCCCTTTCTGCCCAGGCTGGTCTTGAACTGCATGCTTCCTGATCCCAGTCTGTTAAGTGGCTAGCGAGAAATACAGGTGTGAGATACCTTCCTGGCTTGTACCACTTAGAAAAATTTTGTTCCTAGATAAAAACTCTTGGAATTGTGCTGCTCTTTTTAAAAGAGAATTTACTCTTCCAGTTTAACTTGAAAATACTTATGCCAAACCACTCCGCCTACCCAAAATATGTGACTTCTGAAACTGACTTACACATGCATGTCACTCTGGAAATTATTCCCACCAAAGTCTGATTCCAGCTGAAGTTCTCTAGTTCTTCACAAAGGTCCTCTACTGTCAATTTCTGAATTTAGTCTCATTACCTTATGGCTACTGTGAATGGGCCTATAAACAGTATTATAGGAGTATTTGATATGATAATGTGTATTACTACACCCAGTAATACTACAATACTAAGATACATACTAAAAACATACATCATACATACTAGTGACACAGTAATACTATGCTATATATTTAAAGTATTACTACTACTAATATTGTAACTGATGTTTTACATTTAACATTTGGGCTTTTTATTTAGGCAAAATACACATGAAATGTCCCATTTAACCACTGTGGCTGTGTACTTTACGGCACTGAAAACATTTGCACTGTTGTCCAGTCTCAGCACCCGTGTCTGTACATGAGTTCTGACAGCACGGGAGCAGCACAGCTCTCAGCTGTACGAGGCTGCCATCTTCTTTTCCTGGCTGACCCTGAAGTTACTTAGGTGGACCAGGTATTCTAGAAAGGCGTTCCACCTCCTGGGAGGCATGGTTAGGGGCACTGCTGGCCAAGGAGCTGGGACACTAACTTCCTGATGCCCAGGGCAGTCTCCCATGACAATCAACTTTCAAATGTCATACCAGAATTCATGAGGGTGAAAATTTTGTTTGTAACTGCAAGAACCTAATTCGGCCTTATTTATAAATAATTTTAGTGCAATTTTCATGCTTGTTGATTTTTATAAGAGGCAAGTACCACAGAAATAGAGGAAATATTATTCAGTAAGCTATGGCTATTTTTGGAAGTTATGTTCTACAAAGTTGCTGCACAAACAGAATAGCAACCACTAAATCCCAGCTGGGAAAGCATCCAGACACACACATTTACACACACACCTCACATAGGTTATAAACTTAAATCCTAAAATGATCCAGCCTAGATTCTGTTTTCTTCATTTCACAAAAGAGGAAACAGGAGCTCAGAGTGTGAAGTGACTCACCCAAGGCTGCCCCACTAATAGAAGACGCTGCTGGGACTCAAGCCCCACCATCTGCACTGCACTGCACTGTACCACCTGCCCCACCTCGTCATCTCTGCAGGACAGCTAGAACAAGAAGGCAGAACCATAACTAGCCTGGGAACATGCAAGTCTGGCAACTGAAGTCTCTGGCCAAAAATGACTGAGAAAGTGCCCTGAGTATTGAGTTTGGAGTCACAAATTTCAGTTACCAGGCAAAGTCACAAACATGGAAACATGGGATAGGCAACTGCTTCACCTGGAATGTGGTGTGTGAGACATTAGTAACAGACCTGTACTGTGCAGCCAAAGCATTCTCACTGCACTGCTACATCCTGCCTGCCAGTGTCCTGCCCGAAGTCTACTCTAGTGTGTATTTACATATTTTACCATCAGTTACATTCATTTCTCCTTTACATTACAATGGGGCTATTTATCAAAAACACATGAAGCATACTATGAATTTAATTTCAAGTCAGTAAACAGGGATCTACAAAATATTTATTATAAAAAATAGGGCTGCCTGCAACTCCAGCTACTCTGGAGGTGGAGATCGAAGGTTGCAGTTCAAGGCCAGCCTGGGCAGAAAGTTAGTAAGACCCCCAACTCAATCAATAATTGGGTGTGGTGGAACATATCTGTGATTCCAGCTATGTGGGAGGCCTTAGGTAGGAGGATGGTGGTCTAAGGCTAACTCCAGGCAAAAACCTAAGGCCCTACCTGAAAAATTACTCAAACAAAAAGGAATGGGGGTGTAGTTCAGAGGATGGAGCTCAGGGGCTGAGTACAAATGATTAAAAAAGAGAAAAAAAGATCTGGGTTTGATAGGATTGTAAACTATTAATGTACTTAATGTCATCTGCAAAAAAATGAAAAAGGCCTCCTCTCCGCTCCACTCTTCTCCAAGACTCGAGCTCTAACTTCATTTTTATGAGCATAGCAGTGATAGCTGGAGAGCAGCGTCTTGTAAGCATCCTGGTCCTGAGTCTCACATCTATCGATGTTAAAGTAGTCTAGACTTGATCTATGAGAGGTATCAGGAATAAAGGTGAAATTGTATCAGTCTTTGGGTATCCAGTGGAATCAAACATCCTTTTGGTCTGCAATTGTGATGAGCTGTAGTAATAGGCTCCCCCCAGTACTCAGCCACTTTTCCAATCTCCAAATCAGCCCTGCTTCACACAGTATTATCACACCGTTAAAGTACTGCTACTCAGTGTGCTAACATTTCATGCAGAACTTCTCCTAAATAGTAAGTGAGGTTTCATTGAGAGTATTTTTGTCTTGTCCAATCCCTATATAAAGGTTTTGCTTCCTTCAGTAATTAAGCAAGAAGTGTTTCCTCCTTTTAATGCTCAAGGGAACTATTTGTTCCTTGAATGCTTGATAAAACTCACCTGTAAAAACCTTGTGAGCAGACAGTTCTCTGAGAACTTTTAATGTCTTCCGTGGTAATGGGTCTATCAGGCTTTCTTCTTCAGTCAGTTTTGACAATTTATATTTGCCTATAAAATGATCCATTCCATCAAGATGCTCAATTTATTAGCACAGAGTAAACTCAGAATTAAAATCAAAATCTCAGGGACTGGGGAGTGGCTCAAGTGGTAGAGCACCTGCCTAGCAAGTGTGGGACTCTGAGTTCAAACCCCAGTGCCAGGAAGGAAAGAAAAAACAAAAAAACAAAACAAACCCTGAGCATATAACTGTATTTCCATCCTGATTTATAATTGTGAATTTTTTTCATTTCCTTTGCTAGAGGTCTATTTTATTGGTCTTTTTAAGGAACCAACTTACGGATTTATTAATTCTATTTTTATTTTTATTTTTTTGGTACTGGGGTGTGAATTCAGGGCCTCATGCTTGGTAAGCAGGTGCTGTATCATTCAAGCCACCCTGAGTCTTGCACTGTTTTTAATTCACTACCTTCTGTATCCACCTATTTCCTTTCTCTCTTCTCAGGGTTCTTTTAACATTTATTTTCTAGCTACTTGGACTGAATTCCTAAGTCATTTATTTACTAAAAGCAGTTAATGATTACTTTCTCTCTGTGTGCAGCTTTGGCCTCTGGAAATACTGTCTTACATTCAGTCTTCTCCTGATGAACAGTTAAGATGAAGAGTATACAAATGCATTTTAACCCAAGATCTGTAACAGTATCCCACCAAACTAGTGCATTACTTAAGAAAGCTAATTTCTAATTTTACACTACAGAACTACTAAATAACTGAAAATCCAAAAAGTATGACTTTGGAAAACTTTGACATTTAACCTAAAAAATTAGTAGAAAAATGATAAATTCTTCAACAGAATTGTTATGTATGCATTTTTCATGATTCTTTTTTCCCCCATTCAAAGCTTTTATAAATACATACTAAAATATCTTCCATGCAACATCTATCAAAGAAAAAATTTATACCAGGCTTAGTAAAGTTAAAGTGTTTAAACTGTAGCCTTTAAGCCTGTGAAAATGTTTGATCAGTTGAGGCTGAGAACTCAGCTTATCAGCAGCAGAGATCCAAACAGAAGGTCCAACCCAATCCTTTCTAACTTTTCTTTTTTCCTAAGACACCACCCTCACTCATAATTCAGTGAGAGGACCAGTCTGCCTTACTGAATTCTTGACTCTTGTATTAAAACTTAAAATGTAGCTACTTTGCAGGCTGAGATTAGGAGGGTCACAGTTTGAGGTCAGCTCAAACTCCAAAATAACCAGAACAAACTGGGTTGCAGGTGTGGCTCAAGTGGGAAAGCGCCTGCTTTGCAAGTATGAAGCCCTGAGTTCAAACCCTAGTCCCACCAAAAACAAAAACAAAAAAACTATTAAGCAGAGTGTAAAATGCAATGATAATTATCCCCATCCCCCACCCCGGGCAGGGTGCACGGGCTGGGCACCTGATACGGTCGCTGGTCCCACTGTAGCCCCAGCGGCTCTCCACCTGCTGGAACCTGTTGATGCAGCACTCCTTTCCCCGCAGGCAGCACCGGGGCCGGTCGATGTACTCCACCCGGGGTTTAGGATTGACAGTGAAATGAAGAAAGAGGTTCACCACTTCACGATCTGACAGAATGCCAGACTGCGCAGGACCTACAGAAACAAAAATATAAGCCTCAATAAAAGCAGATTCCAAACTAATACTCCACTTAGTAATACAAATTGAAATAGAGATGCTGTGAAGTAAGAACAGGAAAAAATCTTGGTATACATAACTCTAACATACATTTAAAGTTGCGAGAAATACCGCTGAGGTTAACCTGAAAGAATGTAAGTGTTAAAATCACTAGCAGGTCAAGTTTAAATAAAATCCTGATGCTAAAAGAAAGATCTCTGGATTTTTTGTATCTGCTCACCTCCTCTGAGTACTCCAGACTTTCACTCACAAGAAGAGGAGAGTCTTTCTGTATGGCAGGGAACTGATTATAGGGAGCCAGTTTTGTTGCGCCTCCCCACCTAGCACGCCTGAAGCTATGATTGCACCAATGGGATAAGCTGAGAGGTGCAAAAGACAAGAACAGTGCTTGATTTCTGGGGTTTAAAAGTCAGCAGAGGCTGGCGGAGTGGCTCAAGTGGTAGAGCACCTGCCTAGCAAGTGTGAGGCCCTGAGTTCAAACCCCAGTACTGCCAAAAAAGCAGTCAAAGTCGGCAGAGGACAAAAGCTGAGGTTGGAAGGGCTGTGGGAACAGGATGCCCTTCCATTTACTGTTTCTGAGAAGAGGAAAATCCCAAATGCCAGTGACTTATCCAGAATTAATGTACTTAAAATCTACATTTTTAGCAAAAAAGAGAATTTGAACTATGTAAGATGAAAAGACAGACGAGGATGAAAACTCATCTTTCCCCGAATGACAAAGACTATGATGAAAGGTTTAAAATTTTCGGTGATGTAACTGCAGAATAAAAAGCAGAGACTAAATGCAGATGACTATGGTACTTGGTAGTGGTGAGAAAAAAAACAGGGCAATACCATAATTCAAACCTATGGCAAGAGAAAATGTCCAGCTGAAAAACATATAACTGCCAAAAGAAAGCAAAGCAACAACACTCGAGTTACAGAGGCATCAAACATACAACGCAAGAAGGCGTGCACAGAAAGACCACACCATTACCAAAGAGCGTGACATAGGACCTTAAGAGCATCACAGGAGAATGATGCATTACTTCCCCTCCCACCGGCCCCCCTCGCCCCCGTGGCACTAGAATTGGAACTCAGGCCTCACGCATGCTGTGCAGGTGCACTTGAGCTAGGCTTGAGTTAAAACTCCAGTACTAAAAAAAACATAAAAAGTTATTTTAAAAAGGCAGGAAGGGGGATAAGAAAAAGTAAGTGGTGCGAATTTCACCAAATCACATCAGATGCATGTACAGACATACTACAATGAAAGCCCTTGTGCTATTAATTTAAGAATGCAGTCTATGAGACACACCTGAGATTCACAGGAAACCTGATGGAACAAGCTCCATCAGAACCAGAGATTTTAACCTATTTCTGTAGTGGCTGACAGCAGTGAGGGAAAAGAAATCAGCATCTGTATAGAAATCCTACAGGAAGTATGAACATCACTCCTGTGTCTCTTTCAGACACAGGATCTTCAGATGTCTTTGCACCAACAACTCAGGATACACTCTTCTTAAGTAGACATGGTATTTATTAAAACTGACTATAAGTGGGGCCACGAAGCTGAATGTGGAATACATTTTCTGACTACCTCAGAATTAAGAGAAAGGTAAGACAAATCTTCAAATATTGAATAGCAAGCTATATACAAGATCCATTTTTTTCTTTGTTTTGGCAGTACTGGGATTTGATTTGAACTCAGGGCCTCACACCATTTGAGCCACTCGGCCACCAGCCCTATTTTGTTTTTTGCATGCTGTGGATCAAACCCAGGGCCTCTACATGCTCTACCACTGAACTTCATCTCCAGCCCTAGAAACCACTTCTTACTGAATAATGAAAACAACGTATCAAAACTTGTGCAAGCTAGAATGCGCAAGGCCCTGGGTTCGATCTATAGCACCATAAAATAAAACAACAGCAACAAACAAAAACACTGTGGGTGAAAAAAGGTGCTGTGAGGGGAGATGCTTGACTTAAATTCACACCTTCAAAATGAATACAGACTGAAATCATTATTCAAGTCTCAAAGTCACAGGACTAACCAAATAACCCCCACCAAACCACAATAATGAATGGAAAAGGAAGGAAATAATAATAATTTTAAAATACCCAGATGCTGGTTCTCCAAAAATGGTAACATTCCTAACTTTTGTATGAGACCAATTTGGACAATTTTGAGATTTTTCTTCTTTTCGGTAAGCCTGGCCACAATTTGCAAGGGTGCGATCCTCAGTGATGTGTGGGAGCTGATGATGGCTGCTCACAGTCCTGAGACCGAAACCAGGTCTACTGATGGTATCGGAACCATCAACCCAAAGAGTCAACGAGATCTGTCACTGTAACCTTGGGCTAGACACTTGACCCTCCCAGGTTCACTTTCCTAACATAGAAAGGGTGGAGAATATTATTTTGAAGGGGTCTTATGAGAACTAACTTATCACATACCCAGTACTCAATATAAGCTGCTTCTTTTCCTCTCTAGTACGAGGAGATTGACAATGATGGGTTTCAAACAGACAGTGCAGTCGCGGCCTCACCTGCAGCAAACTCCTCTATTGTCATCAGTGGGAACCGGATTAAGGAGAGGGCCTTTCCTAGAACCTTTTGCTTGTTTGCAAAGGTCACAGGCAGTTGCTGTCTCTGACACTCCGCTTCCGCCCAGCGTACAACAGCTCCAAAAAGCCGGCTTTCTCGAATACTAAGCGTGTCTCTTTCTAAAACTGCACAGAGTGTGTCTGTAAATAAAATACAAAATAGATTAGGAATATTTTGCTCTTTAACAAAGCAATAATTGATAGACATGCTTGTATTAAATCTTCAAATCTCAGTGAAAAACAGAGATTACTTAAAACTATGGACTCAGGTTGGCAGAGTGGCTCAAGCAGAAGAGTGCCCATCTAAAAAGTGAGGCTCTGAATTCAAATCCCGTATCGCCAAAACAAAAACAGAAACTATAGACTCTGTAATTTAAAATATCAAATAACCAAAGGAATTTTTTTAAAAAAATTAGGGTATGTTAACATTCAATTTATTACTTATCATACATGTGAGCTTAGATATCGTGTATCTCTTTATATACTCATGCCATTTATTAAATGAACTCAACCATCCACAATAAGATAAACAATAAAGCCACAGAAAAAGGCTCCAACTTAATCCGATAAGTTTATGAAGTCTACGGAGTACGACTCATTTGTTCGTTCACCAAATCTTCATTCTAAAGCACTCTCAATGTGCCACACACTACTCTAGGCACTGATATGTCACTGAACAAGTTAGAAGTACTTGCCCTCATTGAGCTTATGTTCTAATGGGAAAAAACAGATTAAGTAAATATGATACGTCAGATGATACATGTGTGTGTATATGCACCCACACGTGTGCGTCAGCTTTGACTAAAATGCCCTGCAGAGCTCTCCTCTGAGCCAGGTCTGGCAAGAGGTAGGGGAGTAAGGACTCCAGAGTAGAATCACCAGAGTGAATGCTGCCTTCTTAGTGGGTGGTGCAGTGGACTGAGCAGGAAGGACAGCACAGAGACAGACGGAGTGGGGTGCAAGGCCACAGTACCCAGGAGGTCACCTGGCTTTCACTGAGGGAAGTGAGGAGTTCACGAGCTCTCAGTTTTGTGCTGCCTGCTGCGTTGGAAGAGACTGTAGTGGCGACAAGAGTTAGGAGGTACTTGTACCAGCATGGTTAGAGGGCAGAGGACAGTACCACAAGGGGAGCTGTGGCAGTGTTGGAAACCATGAACTCAGGACAGATCTGAAGGAAGGCTCAGTGGAGAGTTCCCAATAGCCTGCGTGGGGTGTGACAGAGAAAGGCAGGGTAGTGGCAAGAGAAATAGGAGGACTAGGGTGGCTCAATTGAGACGGGAAAGCTGCAGGCTTCAGAGGGGAAGGGCGTGTCAGGTCTGAAATCCCTCTGTGACATCCAAGTACAAATGCCATGGCTATACATCAGGTCCTCACTCAGACTCCTTTCCCTCTTATAGGCAAAATTAAAGTAAGTGCCATCATTTTTAAGCATTAACAACCCAGAAGCAGTAAGTTAGAAGAAAGAGAGGCTTTGGAGGCCAAGGCGGTAGAACGCAATGATGAGCTACAGTGGAGCGGGGACCAGGAGGAGGAGTGTGATGAGGAGACAGAGGCCCTGAGAAGCACAGCAGTCTAGTCTCACACACCTCGCAGTAAGAGCACAGTAACGGATTAATCTAGATGAATGGGAAGGTTATTTACATGGAACATTCATTTCTAAAGAACTTAGATGAAACAGGCACTTGTGTAAAGAACCTAACGGTTACACTTGCAGTTTAACTAAAGAGCATGGCATAATTATATAGAGCAGAAAGCAATTAAAAGTTAATACACATCAAAGAAATTATTTAAGCAGGGTTAGGTGGCATCCCAGCTAATTAGGGATCAGGAGAATTGTGGTTCAAGGCTATCCCAGACAAAAAATTATTGAGTCCCCATCTCAACAAACAAGTCAGGCATGGTGGTGCATACCTGAAATCCCAGCTACATGGGAGACACAGGCAGGAAGATCTCGGTCTGAGGCCAGCCCCCGGCAAAAAGTGAGACCTATGTGAAAAATAACTAAAGCAAAAAAGGGCTGGAGGAGTGATTCAAGTGGTAGAGTACCTGGCTAGTAAGCTCAAGGCTCCAAGTTCAAGCCCCAGTACCACCAAAAAAATTTTATTAAAACAAACTGTTGCAACGGTTTACACATTCATACAGTAAGTCAAATACGTGCTTAGTATCAAAGACAGTAATGTAAACTCATTTTGTTATAGGGATATGTTAAAGTATCTTCTTCCTTCAGCAAAAAAGCTGAGAGAAAAACAGTACTGCTCCCTCTAGAACACTCTATGGGACTGCAGGGAGAAGCCCCCAAGTCTAAGACCACTATATAAAAGCTCCAGTGCTGGCTCCTTCTCTCTCAGCGGCAATCTGTTTGGGCACACGAGTCTACTGGTGGTGTGTTAAAGTAAGAAATTCTACCAAGAGCCTAATAAGGACCCTAAGAACACAAGAGATGATGTTTCACAAACACAATACAGTACTGGATTTCAACATACGCCACTGTGAGTCAACTCAAACCAATAACTACTACTAGGGGTCTACTCCCCAGGCCCCACGGCCTGGGTGATATAGGGCTATTTATAAAACCCTTCCTAGGCGGCAGCCATTCAGATGCGGGCACTATTATTTCAGGTGAGAGTTGACTGAGAACAAATGGAGCATGTGACGGCTGTGAGCAGGAAGGGAGTTAGAAGTCAGCAGTGCTCACTACAACAAACAGGTGAATGTGTTGGGAGAACACCATCTAGTCCTTGCCCTTCTTCAGTAGAATGCAAGCATGCATAAGGGCAGGATGTCAGTTCTCAAGCAGTGAGTCACTGCAGTGGTGTAATTTGAGTTAAGTCCTCAGAGGATCACCCTGGCTGACTGAGCAGACTACAGGAGGTAGGAGGGCAGGGCATCTCTGCAGACACAGCCTGGGTGTCTGGTTGGCTGACCAATGTGTGCTGAGCATGTACTGTGTTCCGCTGACTTCCGTAGGAGAGCTACAGCGGTAGGAAGACAAAGGCTTATAGTCTAGGAGAGAAAGTAGAGAATCAACAAACACAAACACAAATGCCTAGAAAATAAGACCTTCAGATGCAGTATGTATACTGACAAAAATAAATCAGAGAGAAATGGAGCAGGGATTGTTTAGGTATTTGCCCTAATTAAACAGGTCAGAGAGTCTGCTCAGGTCCCACTTAACCTGAGAGCTAAGTGATTAAAAACAAGTAACCATAAAAAGATTCAGGAGAGGGCTGGGCACAGAGACTTATGCCTGTAAACCCAGCTATTCGGGAGATGGAGAGAGGATCACAGTTCAAGACCAGCCCAGGGGAAAGTGCAAGACCAGCCCAGGGGAAAGTGCAAGACCTTATCTGAAAAGTAACTAAAAACAGGACTGGGGGCATGGCTCAAGTGGTAGACCATGAGGCCAAGTTCAAAATCCCAGTCCAGCAAAAACAAAACAAAACAAAACAAAAAAGAAGAAAAAAGATTCCCATCAAAAGGATTAACACATGTAAAGGCCTGAAATCTAAGTAATTTTGGCTAATGTGTATGGATCATTAACAAGGAGGAGAAAGGAAGGCCAAAAATTAAATTACCAAATATCCGTTTCCTCTTTCTCTGCGCTTCCTACCTTCTCTGACGTTAATTGGGACCTTGTGGTTGAATTCTGGACAATGAAGTAAGGACTAAAGAAAAGGGGCTACTTTAGGACAAAGGGTTTTAACATACTGAGTTTTCCCTGCAAACACTTTCTCCAGCCCCCAGGAAGTCAGAAGATATCCAGGCCCTAGGAAGCGCTGCCTGCTAAGAGGGCCTTGGGCTGTTCTGTGGGTGTATGAGCCAGTGTGTACTTGGGGACTATTTGTTTCCACAGCCAAGCCTAATCTGCCCTGACTGATACCAGCCTATAGTGCAGGGTCTTCTAAGCTCTGCAAGGAGTCTCAACTGGATTTAACAGAAATGGAAGCAAAGAAGTGATGGGAGCAAGGAAGGGGCACAAACCCGTTCTTATTTATGCAGACTGCTATAGCTGCTAGTAGAGAATGGACTGCGTGGAAGCACATCCCAGTTAGCCAGGTGGGAGAAAGCAGTGGTTCAGACAGGTGGCAGCGGCAGTCAGATTCAGGACACATCTGAAGGTAGAGCTGTGGGCACCTGCTATAAGACTGCATGTGGGGCACAGGGTAAATAATCAAAAGTCACTTCTGAGATCTTATCTGAGCATTGGCTTCATCACCATAAGGAAAACTGAAAAAGAGTCAGAAAGGAACAGAAAAGACTCAACAGAGTGAAGGGACTCTGGTTCTCCATCAGCTGTTTTATTTGAAATGCCTATAAATCTCCAAATAAAAATGTCAAATACACAATTGGGCACATGAGTTTAGAGCCCAGAAGATGGCACTGTAAAGATGTAAAACCACAGCCTGCATTTGCTCTCCACTCTCTTACAAGACAAAGTACAGACCCTGAGCTGTCATCAGGGGCCCTCTGCACCGGGCAAGGCTGCTTAGGACACCCCTGCTCTGCACGTGTCCTCACGTGGTTTACGTGCTGCAAATGTCCTGTCCTCTTCACTGCTCAAATACTGTCCCCCCGCCAGGTGCTGCAGAGCAAACCCAGGGACCAGGCACCCCAGGCAAGCATTCCTCCCCAGCCCAGGTACTGCCCATCCTTTAAGCCTCATTACCAGAACCTCCTTTGTCACAGTCCCCCTAACACTACTCCACTCTGAAGTAATCGCTCCATTTTTTGGAGCTATCTAATTTAGGAAAAGCAAAAGTCACATTTTGCTGTATGTCACCTCCTTTATTAAACTGTCATTTTTTTTGGTGGTATTGGGGATTGTTAGTGTCATAAATCTTAATTTTCATACATTTTGTCCCTTGATTCTCCAACTGGATGTGTCCTTACCAAGACAAATCATGTTTTACCCTTCTTTATACTTCCTCTAGGACCTTAGTATAACACCATACAGGTGGTTGGCATTCTTGCTTATTTGGCACTTCTTAAAAGGCAATGATGCAGTTAGGACTTTTAGAAACATTTTAACCAAAATGAAAGAAAGCAAAGTTCTTAAAGACACAGACGTCAATCATCCCTTGTTCTCCAGTAAGGCTGATGAGGCACTGCTGTACTTATAATGGCAAGTTCAGCTCAGGGGACTTACCTATGTCAATGTCAGTAAACCCTTCTGCACCTATTGCATCCATTGTGCTTTTGTCTATGGTGTCTAGACAAAGACTAGCAAGCTGAGGTTCATCAAACAATCGAGCCTAAACAGATAAAGAGACAGTTATCTTACTTTTGGACTCACTTCACCCTTAGGCTGTACATATTCCAAGGTGATATTGTAATCAGCTGCAATTGAGGATTAAGTATAATTATAATATCTCTATGTTCTTAAAAACACTTCATTCTACAATTGGAAATGAAAACTACAAATACAAGTGCCTTGCTCAAATAATGCTCGCACATTCCACTAAAAGTCCTACTGTTATTTTCCTGTGCTTGTGTGTGTGGCTGGTCTCCAACACAGATCCTCCTGTTTCTGCCTGGTATCTGTGATTATAGACATATACCACCACACCCAGCGTGTTTCTGAGATAGGGTCTCACTTTTTCCCCAGGCTAGCCTGCAACCACAATCTTCCTGCCTCTGCCTCCTAAGCACTGGGATCACAGGTATGTCCCACCTTACCCCTTTGCTTTGACTATTTTCATAAAGATACTGTAAGGACTGAAGGAGTTCATGAAGTTATTATAGGGACTAAATGAACCAATGTATAGAAAATGCCTAAAAAGGTGCCTGGCACGTAATATTTTCCTAGTACATTTTGCTAATTATTAGCATAGGGTCTGGCATGTAATTATCTAATTAAGCCCGGGAAGAGGTGAGATCAGCACATTCTTTCTCCTATAACTACACATATTTAATGATAAAAGTTTTTTTTTTTAAACATAACTAGGGTTTGAACTCGGAGCCTTATGCTTGCTGGGCAGGTACTCTACCACTTGAGCTATGTCTCCAGCCCAACAGAAGCCTTTTTAAATGGTATCAAACATTTTCTATGTGACAGAATAAACCATGAACTAGAAACACGAGCTCTGGGCCCTGCCTCCTCCTGCTGGGAGCCCAGGTTTTAATTTTCCCACCTGGAGAACAAGGGCTGAGCTTGGGCCATCAGCAACATTTTCTGTACTAAAACTCAACAGGACTATATCTTGTCTCACTGGAAACAGGGTCTCACTATGTTGCCTAAGCTGGTCTCCAACTTCTGTACTCAAGTGACCTTCAGCCTCCTGAGTGCTGAGACTACAGGCACATGCCACTACCTCAGACGTAACTGCAGAAACATTCCATCAAGAGCATTACAACACTGCCGAAAAAGAGAAGCTATTTCTATCTCTAACGTATGAAGTTCAGACTATAGGCATTTAGCAACTGTTAAATAATGTATGTTGAAGACTGGTTAATGTATCCATAGGTGTGTTCAGTTTATAAAAATTCACTAGAGCTTGTACACTTAGAATACATGTCCTTTTTTCTATGGGTACTGTACTTAGTGAAAACTTTAAAATGTGAAAGAAGGAATATTTCATATAAACCTAGAATTCTAATTCCAGGTCAGAAAGCTTCCAGATTCTGATATGGAGACTACAGTCTTAGAACTGCTCTGGAATTGAAACATTCAGCTTTTATTTGGGATCCAGCAAACACTGAGCATGAAGGTGAGCTGAAGATCTCACGGTGTGACACTGCAAGATCAACAGTGGGTCTTTAACCCAGCTCCCATCCCAGGTGGAGTCACCACACCCCACTTCTCTAAGGCTTCACCTTCTTACCTTTAGGATTTGCGTTCCTAGCTAAAATCTTACAAAGCTGACCTACTTTCCTGAATAGTAGTGTAAAAACAACTACACACACTTTAAAGATTCCCCAGGAAGTATTATTCACGTACAACTATGGCTGTCCTCAAGTGTTAAGCCACGATGATGCCCACCTCAGCTGCGTGTGCTTACCTGAGTGAGCAGCATAAAGGCATTATCCGCCCGGAGATGCTTGGTGAGAAATTCCACGCAATGTGCTTCCAAAGCGGGGACTGCGTATTTCTTAGCGGTGTACAGAGTGGTCATAACTGTTTCTGGGCCAATCTGAACTTCATCTGAATACAGAAATCTGGAAAGCAAAGAGGAATTTGCAGCAATGATGGGCACTGATTTAGAGAAGCAATCCATTAGTGTTAAACCCGAGGATTTACTTAACGAGAATCATTTTAAAAGATAACAAGCAAACTGGGAAACCCATGTGAAGTGTGCATCAGATATTTACAAATGCCAACAGGCATTTGCAAATGTGTCTGATTTTACTCTTCCTCTTTCCTGAGAAGCAGGAAGTTTCTCCATCCTATAGAGGAAACTGAAGGGAAGAGCATGAGACACACACTGACCTAAGCAGAAGCCTCAGAGTTTTGATTAGCACCCAGAGCTGCTCAGGGTATGGTGGCGATGTTATTTTATTTTATTTATTTATTTATTTTTTGGTGGTACTGGGGTTTGACCTCAGGGCCTTGTCTTTGTTAGGCACTTGAGCCACACTCCCAGCCCAAATAAAGCAATTTTAACAAGCCAGTTGGTCCTCCATATTCACAAGTTTCACATGTGTGGTTCACCCAACTGGGGATCAAAAATAGCTTTGAGGCTGGGCACCGGTGGCTCTCATTTATAATCCTAACTACTCGGAGACAGAAATTAGGGGGATACCTGTTCTAGGCCAGGATGGGCAAAAAAGTGAGACCCTATCTCAAAAATACCCAACACAGGACTGGAGGAGTGGCTCAAGTGATAGAGTGCCTGCTCTGCAAGTGTGAAGCCCTCAGTTCAAACCCCAGTTCCAACACCAAAAAAAAAAAGACCCCCAACACCAAAAAAGGCTAGGTGACTCAAATGGTAGAAAGCCTGCCTAGCAAGCTTGAGGCCCCAAGTTCAAACCTCAGTACTGCAAAAAAAGAAAAAAATTATATATATATATATAAAATCGTGGATGAAGGGAATGTTGGGTTTGAGCCTGTTCTATCACTTGCCAGCTATGTGACTTTAAAACAGTTATTACCATTGCGTGCCTCTCTAAAACGATGAGAACCAACAGAACCTTTTTTAGGATGTGAAAATTCACCCAAATTGAAACAGAGCACTGTGAATAGTTCCTGACTAAAAATGAGCCTCGGTAAATGTCAGCTATTTATTTATGCATGTTGTCATTTTTCCCTGCAATTCCCTGTGCATTTTGGAAGAGTTCTTTGCATTTTTTTCCCTAGCCTTCCTTCTTTTCTCAGCAATCATGTTTAAATTTCAAAGAATTCCTGCTTTTATTTCTGCAGCATTATGTCCTAGTTTCCTGGAAGCAAAACTTTCTCAAGTCTCCAAGATGATATTTCTAAGTTTTTAAAGCTCCCTTCCAACCTCTGAATTCCTGTCTCATTGCGATCTAGTTGTTCTCTGTTTTTGATTTTCCATGTATGTCAAGTGATGAATGTCACTGAGTTCAGTAATCTAATAGCTGGCCGATTTCCAAGTAACACCATCTCCTTTCTATTCTAGAAAGGTTGGCTTGGGAGCTCCAGCATGTGGGAGGCTTGTTGACTGGCACCCTGCCTTAGAGTGGGAAGCAGACTTGAAGTCAAGGACTGCTCGATGCCATTGTGAGAGCTTTACTAGGAGGTCCCCAAGCCAGGCCAGCAGTTCTATTTGTCCCTAGGCAGTCTGTTACAAAGCAGTTGGTTAAGAGGATGGTCCACAGGCAGGCTTTCAATTAATTTCACACTCTCTTCCTTCCTCTTTGCGGGACTGTGGCTCCCACCTCCACCACAATCCCTCAGCTTCTGCACTCTGAGCTCCAGATCCAGCCACTCTACCTCATCCATCACTGCTTGTGTTTTCTCCACTGCTGCCAGTGAAGCCTCTCTCTCTTCTCTTCTCCATAACTGTCTTTCATATTTCTTAGCACTTATTTTAGCTAACTGCATGCTCAATTCTCTTCTTGAACTAGACACTTACGGTTTTTAAGAATCATCTCAGTTCATATTTTACTTACACAGTTTTTTATTTATCAGAATTCCTATAATATAAAACTAAATATGTCAAGATTTAAAAAATATAATTAAAACTTAAATGTGAGACATTACGACAATTCTTTGTTTATTTTAAAGTGACCACTTTATCTCTCATATACAACTTCTAAGGAAACAGCAGAGAAATGATTTTATGTCAAACTATTCCTGTTTTCTCCCCAAATATTATTTCCTAAAAAGATAAAAACTTAGGTTACAATTAATCTAATTTTTAAAAAAAAAATTTAAAGGCTAAGGTAAAAACTAGATTTTATATTAGAAAAAAGGCACAAGCTCATGTATGAGGAACTATGTATGTTAGATGATGTATTCATCTAACTCAAGAATGTCTACTGAGGGACTATGTTTTCAGGCCTTGTGACAAGTCCTAGAGCTACAAAGATGTGTAATAGCTTGGCTTATGAAAAGCTTACAGTTTAAAGTGTGCCCTGGGCAGTAATATACAACTAACCTCTTAAGATGCACTCCAATAAATCATGGCTTCAGTATTTATGCTCATGATGAATCTGGGCAGGACTGGTATGACTCTCTTAGCCAGCAGAAAGTGGCAGAGAAATGCGGCCAGTTTGCAGCCTACAGTTTAAGGATGCCTGACAGCTTCTGCTTTTGTACCCTTGGGAGCCATCAGCTAAGAAATCAAGCTGTTGTGCAGAAGAGACCAGCTGGAGAAGGCACATGGTGAGGATCCAAGACTACATGGTTGGGGAAACAGACTCAGCCACCCAGAATGTGAGTCAAACCTTTGACCACTCCAACCCCAGCTGTTACCTGGTAGAAGGCATGAGACCAAACAGAAGCCAACCAACCACTCTGGATATCCCAGTCAGCTCACACACCAGGGAGGATAATAAAATGGTTGTTTAAGCCACAGGTGTTGGTGTGGCTTGTTTTCCCACAACAGGTATCCAAAATATGCTATGAGATTAGATGAGGCCGCGCACAATTCTGCCTGGGATAGCAGTGAGGCAGAGCCTGAAGGGTAAGTGTGGAGATCCAGGCAGAAAGATGCTAAGTGGGAAGGTAAGGAGTCCTTAGAAGGCAGGCATTAAAACAAGAAAAAGGCCATCAGGAGTTTGGAAGAAAAACAGATCAAATCACAAAGGTCTCCTATACCCATGAGAGTGTTCAAACTTAATCTTATAGGCAAAAAGAAGTTATTAGCTGGCCGCTGGTGGCTCATGCCTGTAATCCTAGCTACTCAGGAAACCCCAGTACCACCACCATAACAAAAAGTTATCAGAAGATTCAGGGGAATGAGGTGACAATATTCTCATGTTAGAGAGAATTATTTTTAAATCATGTTTACATTTGAGAGAATGGTTAACAGAGTGAATGCAGAGCTAAGTCTATAGGTAGCAGTATGGCAGAGAAATGCAGAAAAAATGGAGTGCAGGAGAGTGAAACCCTCAGGAATGGTCCAAAACATGAGAAGTCTGTAGAACAGACTGGAGCTTCGCCCACAAGTCATTCCCCAGCTGAATCACACAATCGCAAAGAGGAATACACTAGTGGACTTTTAAGCCTCTGAGTTTTAGGATTCTCGATTTATGGCTAATAAGCAAAAGGTGACTGATAACAGGGATAATGCTAAGTGTGCTTGCCTCATAGGACTGTGGCAGGGAGGACCTGAGTGCACGAGGTGCTTAGGAACGGCAAATGCACATGGTAAGCACTAGGTAAACCAGGCATTTTTATTGATGACACGTCCACCTGCATGGGTAGCAGACATTCCTCTGCGAAGGTCCAGGTGGAAATTAGGGTCTGGAAATGCGCATGGGGGAGTATGCAAGCAGTACAGTAGCGGGAGGAAGGAGGAAGCTGGAGATGCCAGAGGAATAGTTAGCTCCCTCCAGCCAACTGCTGTTTCTCTGCTCTCCCATACAAAACTCCCGAGAGGAGCAGTCTCCAGTTCCTCACCTCATTTTCTCTCCTCCCTACTCCAGTCAGCTGAAATCACTCTGACGGGGTTATCAACAGCTTCCGTGTCAAACTCTAAACAATTAGCAAGGTTTTCCACTAGCTCTTTCTTCAAACACTTTCTTCAACTTGACTTTCAAGGCACCACATCCTTGCTTTCCCTTCTAGTTCCACTAACAGAGGCCCACTGCAAGACCTAGGGCTCATCCCGTCCTCTCCTCACAACCTTTATTCCTTCCCTAGGTACTCTCATTAAATATCATTCATTCCTAGTTTTCAAATTATGTTCAATGAGAAGTTCTTCCTTAAAGTTCACAACACACCTGTCTATTCTACATTTCTCCTTCGGCATCTTAAAAGTTCTTTTGGTTCTACCTTCACAATATGACCAGAATTTGACCACTTGTCATCATTTCCATTGCTCCTTCCCCTGTATACCATCACCACCTGCCTGAACTACAGGAAAGACTCTTAATTCATCATCCTTTCACCAAATTTATACAGCTATAGTCTCATCTCCAGAGGGTTGTTTTTTTTCTTTTGCAGTACTGGGGCTTGATCTCAGGACCTACACCTTGAGTCCCTCCACTAGCCCTTTTTGTATTTGTGTGTGTGCGCGCGCGCAAGACAGGTTTTTTCGAGATTGGATCTTACAGATTATTTGCCCAGGCTGGTTTCGATCCTCCTGAGCAGCTAGGATTACAGGCATAATCCACCTGCTGCCAGAGGAGTTTTTAAAAATGTAAATAGGGTTCCACATTCCCTTGCCAAATCCTACACTTGCCAGACACCCAGTTCCTCCTTAGTCTAAAGCTCTGTGCTATCCTGCCCGGCCTACCTTTTTTTTAACCTTATCTTCTAACACTTCCCTCTTACTCTGCTCAAATAGCACTGTTCTGCTTTTGTAGTTCCTCCAGCAGAAGAAATGTAAAAGCCTAAAACATGCTTTTCCTTGTTTCGAGTGCCCCTTCTCTCATGGCTTGATCATTTTTCTTCAAAGTACTCCTCAGTACTTGACATTACATTATACCCTAGACTCCCTTTACCTAGACTATCCCACGTTTCATGAGGCAGGGACTTTTTCTTGTGCACTGCTGTTTCCCAACATGGAAAATGATAACTGGCACCAGGGAGACACACAGCACTTGTCAAATGGGATGAAGAACATCATTTAAAGGTCAAAGAGTTCAAATTGCAAGGGCTTCAAAGCTAAGTTCAAAACCCTTAAAAACAGTAGGAGTAGTCCCCAGCTAGCTGCTTTTCCAATACAGCAAGCACTATGAAATATTGTTTTTGTTGTACACTATTGATAAACAGTGTCTGTGTTTCACAGCCAGCCACACCTACTTTAAACATCAGTCTACACATCCATTTCAGAATAGAACAATCACTGGAACCTGAAGGATGAATGCCATGAAAATGTAACACTCTAAAAATAGAAAATGAGGAATCAAATTGCACTGTGCTACATTTTAAGGACTCCAAAATTAACTTATTAGTTTCTACTAAGGACTCACTGATAAGCGGCTTCAGTGAAAATATGAAATAGCTGTTTTCCATTCTATATTCTATTTTAACAATCTCAGTAATTTTTTTTTCCAAAGAAAGGGGTAACTAATATTTTTAGATGGGTTGTCCAAATTAGGCCAGCATAAATATTAAAGAGTATTAAAAATGCTCCCCAGTCTCACCTCCAGATCTGATAAGATAAGGAGAGGACAGGATGCACAAGTTTTGGGTGGTATGGGGTTTGAATTCAAGGTCTTGAGCTTGCTAGGCAGGAACTCTACCACTGGAACCATGACCCTAGCTGGGATCTACACATTTTAACAAACATGGAGATAGACTACAAGGCAGGTGGCCTTAGATCATTCTGAAATATACTTCTAATACAGAAAACTTACACAAGCTACACCCAATCTTCCCATCAACTTCAACCCAAAAACCAGAATGACCTAGATCCTAACTTTTGAGGCTCCCCCTCCCCCACAAATGTAACTGACTTAAATTTTACAAAATATGGGAAACAAAGAGAGGAAAGGTACCAAGATCGTCCCACCTTGGCTTAGCTAACATTTAAGTGTTTCCTTATATCTTTGTATATACCATGTAGGTATATGTTTGTTCCATTACTTTTCAAAGCTGTATAAAAGGTACACACAATCCCAGATGCTTATTGTAAATGTTTTCATACATGTCATAGTGCCAGCACTGTAGTCCATCAAGTGAACCTGTCCTTGTTTACTTAACCTTGCCCTACAGTTGACTTCTTCCTCGTTACCAAAAAGAATGCTGTTGTAAATATTTTTGCAATACTTGAATGCTTCAAAGTGTGCAAAGAAAAGCTACAGGGCTGCACGGGTTCTTACTACCATCTTTGTGACAAAGTACTCCTCAAAGCTTTCTTTACAAAATGTGGTGGGATTAAGGGGCAGGTACCTGTTTCAATTTACACTTCCTTATTTTCTAATGAGGTTAAACATTCTTTGTTAATTAGTTCTACTTTTTCTGTCCTAATTATCCTGTACTTTATCCATTTGTTAATGGGACCCTGGCATTTATTTCTAATTGTCCAACTCATTATGGGATTGAACCCAAGGCCTTGGGCTCGCTGGGCAAGACCTCTACCACTTGAGCCACTCCCCCAGACTTTAGACCCAATTTCCTACAGATTTCCCCGCGACTTCCCTGTCCTCAACTCTATCCAACTCCAGCCTCCCCACTTTGAAAACAACACACGTTGTGTTGGCTCCGTTACCTCCGAGGAGTGTCTTGACTGTCCTGGCCCATCGTCCCAGTTGTGAAACTGGGTAAACACCGCCCACGCCTCCTAACAGGCCCGCCGTGGCTGAAAGCGGGCACTGCTAAACCTCTACACAAAGCCCACCAGATGTCCATCTGCCACCCTCAAATCCTCAAGACGCAAACTCCAGCACCAGTGGCGGGATTCACTGTTGAGCAAACGTTACCTGGTCTACACAAACACAAGGCAGGGGAGGCCGCGCTTGTCTGCTTGGGGTATTCGCTTCCCAGCTCTTCACAACAGATACGTTACCATATATATAGCCTCAGTTTACCGCTTCCTTTTCTGGGGGGAGGGGTGGGCACTGGGGTTTGAATTCAGGGCTTTCGCATTAGCGAAGCAGGCTCTCTACCACTTGAGCCACACTTCCAGCCGTCTTTGCTCTGGGTCTTGTGAACTATTTGCCCAGGCTGCTCTCAAGTCTCGATCCTCCCGATCTCAGCCTCCCCAGCAGCAGGGATTACAGGCGTGAACCACCAGTGCCCGACCTGAACACGTTAACTTTTTAAAAGGTGCAAAAAACACCCCAAAACATCCACTACCTTCCCCCTCCACGCAGAAACAGAAATCTTGCAAACGGGCACCCAGGACGACCCGCCCGGTCCCCTCCGGAGCCTGCTCGACAGTTCCGCCGCTTCCAACGGTGCAAACGCTCGCCGACTGCCCGGGGACGCCAACGTCCCCGAGCGCCGCCGGCTCCGGGGCGACCGCGGCCCAGGTCGGCGGGCGCCGCTCACCTCAGCAGCGCCAGGAAGGCGGCGGGCTCCACGTCTGGCAGCTCGATCTCGGCCGACGTGGTGGCCATGCCGCCGTTGAACATGGCGTCGAAGACGGCGCTGCCCGCCGCCAGCACGAAGCGGTGGGCGGGGATGCGCTGCGGACCCCCGGCGGCCGCGACGCCGCGGCCCTTGCCGAGCACGAAGCGCACATCGCTCAGCAGCTCCGAGTTGAAGAGGAAGGCGAAGCGCTCCTTCAGTGACGCCTTGGTCGCCTGCCAGTTGTACAGCGGCTCCCGCTGCAGGGGGAGCAGGGGCCCGAGCGTAGACGGCGATGGCGGCGGCGGCGCTGCGGCCCCCAGCTCCGCCTCGGCCCCTGGCGCCTGGTCGCCCGCTGCGGCCGGCCCGAGCGAGGCCATCCTGCAACTGCACGGCTCCCGGGCTCACGCAGCGAGCTCCGGCCTCCCCGCCGCCATCGCCGAGGTCGCCCCCGAAGGCCGGCACCGCCCCCCTGTCTTCCGGGAAAGGCGTTTCCGGCCGCCGCGCGCGTCCCCGTCGGCCCCGCCCCAATGCGCAGGCGCATGCCCAGGGGGCGGTGCTAGGGGCGGAGTCGGCGCGCGGGCGGGGCCTGCCTGCGCGGCGCGTGCCCGGGGGGCGGTGCTGCTGTGGCGCGCGCGCGCCCGGAGGCGTTCAGCTAGGGCGCGCGCCTGCGGAGTTTCTGCTGGACGATGCGGTCTCACGTTCCCTGGGATCTGGGCGGCCCGCGCCCGGCCTCCTCCTTCCCTCAGGCCTAGTCCCCAGCTCCTGCGTCCCCCGGAGCATCCAGCGTGCGGCCCTAGGCCTTTCCCGGGAGGAGTTTCTCGCCTGGAAGAGGCGGGGGCCGGGGCAGGGGACACCATGACTCCTCACGCCCTGACAGCACAGATAGGGGATCTCTCCCCAGGTTGCAGGTCCTTCACCCTCTTGGCTCCTCTGGCTCTGTCCAGATCATCCCCTCCCACCCCGTCCCCTTTTCTCCTCCAGCTCTCAGCCCCGTGGTTGAATCCCCTCCTTCTGATCCCTCTGCCAGAAAACCCCCACTGAAGCCTGAAGGAAGGATGACGGGAGAAGGTGCTGCCCACTGTGGCCGCTGTCCACTGGGCAGCGTGATGGTCCAGTTTGATGCCGCTCCGAGGTGAGGCAGGCCCTGACATCAAGGTCAGCTGTTAGAAGGAGAAGGTAAGAAACCCAGGAAACAGTTCTTGACTAGCTTTGTAGGAAAGCTACAAATGCCAGGGATCTTCCTAAGGATGCAAAACTTGGATTTCTTAGGAAAGTCACTGCATCGTCAAACCCACTAGGAGCGACCTACAGGTGCTAAGCATTTAAAATGGCAACTTCTTTGGAAGAGATGTGTGCTTGGGAAAACATCCGAAGTAGTAAGGAGTGAAATAGTGTGGAAAAGCCATCCCTTCCGGATACTATAGCAGACGTCTCCTAAAAGCAAGGACATTGTGCTGCAAACGATACCAAATCGAGAATGTTATGATGTAGCATTTCCCGTACAGTCCATTCTTAACTTTTCCCAGTTAGCTCAAAGAAGACCTTTGATAAGGGCTTGGTGGTTCATGCCTGTAATCCTAGCTACTTAGGAGGCAGAGATTGGGAGGATTGCTGTTGGATGCCAGTCGGGGGCCAGCCTGGGGAAAAAGATCAGGAGACCACTTCTCAACCCATAGTTGGGTGTGGTGGTGTATCTGTCATCCCAGCTATGCAGGATAGTATAAATAGGAGGATTGCAGTCAGGCTGGCACAAAGTGAGACCCTACCTCAAAAATAACCAGAAGCAAAAAGAGCTAACTAAGCGGACAGCACCTTCCTAGGAAGTGCCAGGCCCTGAGTTCAACCCCCCAGTGCTGAAAAATAAAGACATTTGATAATTTCCCGCAATCCAGAATCAAATCAAAGTTCACACAGTATAATTGGTTGTATCGACTTCTTTGAAGAATCTAATCTAGGTTTGCCTGGTCGTCTCTGTACAATTCATGGTTAGATTCCAAATTTAAAAAATTAAACATTTTTTGGCAAGAGTACTTACTATGAGGGCTGGGTGTAGTACAGGCCTGTAATCCCAGCTACCAGACAGGCATATGAGTAGGAGGATGACACCAGGCAAAAACACCAGACTCTGTCTGAAAAATAAACAAAAAGGCCTGGAGGAGTGGCTCAAGTGGTAGGAAACCTATCTAGCAAGCACAAGGCCCTGTGTTCAAATCCCCCAGTCCCACCAAAAAAAAAAAATATGAGAGCAACCTAAGCTACATAGAGACACCCTGCCTCAAAACAAAGAAGCAAAAAAAAAGAATGAAAAAGCAGAAGAAAACCAAGGAAAATGACAACAAGAAGAAACTATAAAAGAAAAACAAACTTCAGGTGAAATTTTCTTTCTAAACATAACACTAAAGACCAAATCCATAAAATTAAAGTACTGGCAGATTTGACTGCATAAAGTTGATAAACTTCTATCCACCTAAAAACAAAGCATAATAAAATTGAAAGTGAATAAGACAAGCTGGGAAGAATACTAGGAATATTTTCATTATTTATGACAAAATCATGGTATCTGTAAAACGCAAGGAGACTTGACTTTGAAAATAGTAGGACAAATACCCTACCTGCCCCTTGTAGCCAGCAAAAGACACAAGCAGGGCATGCCCAAGTGCATATCCTTTCTGAAGCAATTCAGACATGTGGGTCCACACCTTCAAACCTATGTTTCTTTTGTTCAAGCAATTCTACTTAAGTAATTGTGTGTGTGTGTGTGTGTGTGTGTGTGTGCAGTACTGAGATTTGAACTCAGGGCCTCACCTATGGTAATTTATCCTGAAGAAATAAGAGCTGGGTATAGAATTAGAAGCAAGGATGTCTAAGTATTAATTTTTAAAATGGAAATAATGTAGAAAGGTAATTGATTAAATTACAGCACAATCAATCATATGATAGAGTAATAAATATCTGTTGAAAAGAGGCTCACTGATGTAAAAAGTGTCCCCAACCTACAACGCTGAGTGAAAAGAACAGGTTACAGAACGAGATATGTAGCATACCATTTTGTCCTGTGGACTCTCAGGTTTTGTTTTAAATATTGGAGATTTTTAATACATATATAAAACTGGAGTAATATGACCACTGTTATAAAACATTGCAGAGAGTGATTTTTTTATTTGAAGGAAAGAAAGAGGTTGGAATTTTTTAAACTAAACAGTGGCTTACGCCTATAATCCTAGCTACTTGGGAGGCAGAGATCAGGAGGATGGAGGTTCAAAGCCAGCCTGGGTAAATAGTTTGGGAGACCAATCTTGAAAAAAACTCAACACACACACAAAAAGCTGGTGGCATGGCTCAAGTGGTAGAGTGCCTGTCTAGCAACCATAAGGCCTTGAGTTCAAACCCTAGAACCACCACCAAAAAAAAAAAAAAAAAAAGAAGTTCGATGAGACTACATTAAAATTTTTAATTAGCACCCAGGTGTGGTGGCACATGCATGTAATCCCAGCACTTGGGAAGGAAAGGCAAGAGGATTGTGAATTAGAAGTCAGCCTGGGCTACACAGCAAACTCTTGTCTCAAAAAAAAAAATACTTAAAATTATTGAGCGGGTAATATCTAGCAGGGGCATTGGTACATCTGTACTGTTTCCTTGACTTCCTCTGAAATGCTGCAAAGTGTCACCTTTCATTAAATGCCACCTAATTCACTGTGACATTCATTGTAAGGCACCAGAGATGAGATTACAAAGATGGCTGGAACATTCCCGCTCCAGAGAAGCTTGTAATTTAGCAGGGGGGGAAGCCCAGTGTGACCTACACAGCTAGAAATAAAACTTCTGCTGTCTGATGGATGCCTTTAAAAACAGTGGCAAAGGCAATGTGCCATCCCCAGGCTAAATTCAGCTTTCTTCCATGGCTCTTCTGTCTTTGCCATTCTTGCTTTCTGGAAGCCAGCCTAGAGAAAGTAAAATATGTCACCACGTGTGCTAGTTTATACTTAGAACAAATGTGAAGACTTATAAGAAAAAGACCTATTGGCAAAAAAGAAAAAAAAATAGTAAAACTCTAGAAAAGGTAGTCAGGAGAAATCTATTTTGGAAAATAATTTAATGCCAAAGAAAGGAAGACATTTTAAAAGCATAAAAGGCAATTATTAAACTCTAATGATTTTTTTATTTTTACATTTCAGGGAGTGCATGAAATACAGCAGGTATTGAATTACCTTCTCTTTGAAAGGATGAGCATTGCAGGTATAAATAGAAGCTAAGGTCAAGAGCTAAAGGCAGAAAAGGACCCATGTGTCCTGCAGAGACCCATAGCATATGGAAGAACACATCCTGGTCTAAAAGCTGCAGTTACCCCTGTGGCCCCAGTTGGAGCTCCAGGGAGGAAAGGAGAGGGAGGATTGGGAAGGCCCAAGATCACCGTTCCTTATAAACCTTAAGCCAGCCCCAGGTCTGGCAAACTTCACCATGAGAACACAAGTGCACAGGTTCATTCCCAATGAGCCCAATAGGGCCCTTTCCTCCCTGTTACTCATCTTTTTCCATCTAAGAAGTGACGCTTTTAGAAATGTGATTGGTCTAAGCCTGAAAACCAGCATTTCTCCCTCTCCAGGGTGGAGAGCTTCTGAGAAGCCTTTATCAGAGGCCCAACCCTAGGAATTAACAGATACACAAACACACATCCACACTCCTGCCCCTCACACACACTGACTCCTCCATCCTAGACTGCTCACATTCTGCCCTCAGTGCTTAACAGAACAGAGATGCTCGCCTTCTTCCTTCCCACTGCCCCCCTCAGCTCTCGCATCTCCACAGGCCTTGGCAGGCAGGGCCGGCTTCCCTGATGCCTCCCAGGCCCTCTTTCCGTATTCTCTGTGCCCAGTGCATCCGCTACCAGTCTACCCCAGTGTGCACAGTTGCAGGGCTACCTGGATGCTCAGGTCTGTCTCCTTGTCCTTCTCCGATGTCTTTTCTCTATCTGTGATCCCATCACTACATGGTCAGACTTTTCTTCAAGAAAAGGGGAGAACTGGGGATATAGCTCAGTTCTCAGTGACAGAGCACTTGCCTAGCATGCATGAGGCTCTGGGTTCAGTCCTCACCACTGCAAAAAGAGACAGAGAGAGAGAAAGAGAGCTGAAATAAACATTACAGGCATGGTGGTTCATACCACTAATCCCAGTTACTAGGAAGGTGGAGGCAGGAGAATCACAAGTTCAAGACCAGTCCAGGAAAAGGTAGCAGTCAGACTCTGTCTCCAAAACAAAAGGACTGGGGTTGTGGCTCAAGTGATAGAGCACTTGTCTAGCATGCAGACTCTAGGTTCAGCTCCTAGTACTGGAAAAATCAGAAGCAGGGAAAAGCTACCCACTTTTGACAATCCACTGAACCATAGGCTTAGGACCAATGCACCTTTCTCTGTATGTTAAATTTCAGAAGACTTTTTAAGAAATGGCGATTTTTTTTCCCTCCAAATTCTTGTATTTCTCCTGAATGATTTGGTCAAGAGCTTTTCCTTGGTCCCTGACTGCTTTTTACTGTCATTGTTCTTAGATTGCACCTTGCTGGTTTGAGTAATGGTGAAATGTTTTTGCCCACAATAAACTGATGTATTTTAATTCCCTCTTTAAGATCAGAGGCTTATCTTTTCAGATCTGGAAAGAGTGGACTTTGGCTTCCTCCTGTAGGTGATTGGTGTTGAATCAGGGTGGCTGTGGAGAAGATGGGGTGTCCGTGCCTAAGCCTCTTTCAGTTCCCAGGAGTAGAGAGTCAGCAGTGCTGCCATTGACCTCCTGGCTGGGCTGAGGTGACACCACTGCCCAGACCTCCTCATCAGGGACAATGTGGCTGTGATTCAGTGCAGCTTGTGGGTCAGTGAAAGCCAAGGTAAGGTTGGGCCAGCTAGAGAGCAGCCCTCAGCTCTGAACAAGTGAGGCAAAACTGGGCCACAGGTTAGACCAGCTGCAGAGGTCAGCTGTGGGCACCAGAACACCAGGCCAGGGACAGCTGCATGTCAGCCATCACTGTAGCCTGAGGGAGCCGACTGGCCCCACAATATCCTGAGGTCACATGGAGAGTCTGGAGTAGGGAGGTGGAACCTGAGAGACAGAGTCACTTTGCCTGTGGGAGGACCTTACTTAAAGGGACTGCTACCTTCCTCTTGCCTTGGGCTAGCTGTACTGGAGAAAAGTAAAATACACTTTTCCCATGTCACCGAATAGGTGGGACCTGGTAAGATCAGCCCACTTAGCGATAAAGGACCGGCACTTCCTCATTTCTTCTGAGTGTCGTGTGAATAAATACAATTGCAGCTCTTTCTTTTGCTGATTTATTTTCACTCGACTATTCCAACTGTAGACTTCTGACAGTGGGGTTTGAACTCAGGGCCCCCTGCTTCCTAGACATGCTCTCTGCACTTGAGCCACAGCCCGTCCTCAACTGTAGTCTTTTGGTTGCTGCTGAAAGTGGTTCATTCCAGGAATTGTTCTGGCTATTTGAATGGGCTTTGAGAAGGAAGCTCCTGGCATTGCTGCTGTCATGGTACCTTTTATTTATTAGTAAAACAGTTTTATGGTTTCTCTAAGTCTTCCACTCTTTTCAGCATCTAATCTCATACCCTCCCACTCCAGTAACAGCCTAACAGCCATCTTGTTAGGTCTTATGCTAGGCATTTAGGTAAAAGATTAGTAAGATATACTCTGACATGTTTCTTTTTTGTTGTTGTTTTTGCAGGACTGGGGTTTGAACTCAGGGCCTCACATTTTCGAGGCAGGTGCTCTATGACATGTTTCTTAGACAGAGGCAAAGCAGGTAACAAACACTGTTCCATGTTCCGTGAGACTTTTGACAAAAATGTTAACTTTCCATCACTATAACAAATGCCTGAGGTAACCAACTTAAGAAGAAAAAAGGTCTAGTTTGGCTCACAGTTTCAGAGGCTCTAGCCTGGGATTGGTTGGCTCCGTTGCTTTGGGCCTGCGGCCGGGTATCACATCACAGCAGAATTACTCACCTCTGGGTCAGGAAGTGAAAGAGAGGAAGAGGAAGGAGTTAGAGTCCTACAGTTCACTTCCAGGGCAAACCTCCAGTGACCTACAGACTCCTGTTGTGCCCAACCTCTGATTAAGACCAGCCACTCCCAACACATCTCAAACTGTCACTCTATCACTTCAGTTAAGCACATTCACTTCCCCTTGATTTTGGGGCACTGTTTGCTTTTGGGGAGGCAAATTTTCACAGAATTAAGGGCAAGAAGACACTGAACAGATCACATGACCACATAGGTCTGACAGCTTCTCCACATCAACTAAGTTGTGTTGTGTGCATGAGAAACTTTAAATGTTTAGTTTTTGGCATTTCTTTTGATTGTTTATTTATTTCGACCAAACTTGGTCAAAACCTTGTGTAATAAATTCACTATTAAGTTGGGGTTTACTGTACTTGTTTATCTTTGACCGCAGAATTGTGGCAAGGTCTTCCTTGAATGCACAGCTTCGGGAAGGATGCACATGGAGTGGAGACGGAGGAAGGGGTCACCAGTCCAGCAAGCCAGATCAGTCGAATCAACACTGGGAATCAGTGAAACCTCAGGTGTCCAGATGGCCCTCACACCCCATGGTCCTTACCGTAAGGGGAAAGTGTTTAGCTTTTACCATTGATATGATGTTAGCTGTGCTCTTTATCGTCGCGAGAATAGTTCCTTTCTCTTGCTAGTTTGTTAAGTGAATTTTTCATGAAAAGTCTTCATAATTTCTAAGAATGTAAAGGGACCCTGAGACCAAGAATGGTAAGGGGACTTGAGACCAGTTCGAGAACTGCTGGTGGAGTATGAGTTCAGTGAAGTGGCTTTGAGGTCAGTCCACCAGCTTCGAATTGCAGCTGGGCATGACCTTGGATAATTTTTGTAACCTCTCTATGTCCATGGAAACTGGGAATGGCAGTAGTAATGTGATTTATCTCAAAAGTTGAAACAAATACTAATACGTATCAGAAATTCAGAGTAAATGCTCAACAAACGTTTATAATTACTCAAAAAATGGAACCAATTTAAATAGTAACTGGAACCTTTTATTGGTGGGGGCCACCAGCCTGGAACTTGCAATGTTGCCTAAGCTGGTCTTGAACTCTTGATCCTCCTGCCTCGGCCTCTTGAGTGCTGGGATTATAGGCTTGGCACATGACAAGCTCCTAACTGGTGCTTTCTGTGCTGCTGTTTTGCTAAGGTCTACCTCACAAGGGCTTAATAATTCAACTTTGCTTTTGACTAAATGTAAATTTTTTACATTTGTGCAATTGCTGTTGTTCATATTTTTGCCATGGTTATTACTTTTTCCTTTTTAGTCTCTTTAAATTGTCCAGTTGTACTTAATTGTTAGGTGTCTCACATACTATTTTGATGCAATGAAATATAAGATAAGTAACTAAAGTTAGTCTAATTTACATCATGTTATCAGTGCTGTTGCCGGGACACGGGAGAGCTGGAATTACCTGTCCCACATTCTCTGAATCTTTTGAATTAGCCACGCAGACGGAGCAGTTGCTGCAGCTCTTTTGCAGTGATGTAGCTGTGACCGACTACAAGAAATCACGCCATGCCAGAAATGAAACAGAGTGGCAGCCTGGATTTCAGAGTCCATGTCTCTCGACTATGCTGCCTCTCTGGTTACAGGGAAGTAAATATAGACCAGGCTGATTGTGTGCACACATTTCATTTAACTCTGCCCCTCTCTGCTCATTTTCCAGCTAACAGAAACTACATCAGCCCAGCTCTAAGTAGGTCTGCTTATCCCTTCCCACCAGCCCCAACCCCCACTTCTTCTCTCCTAACTCTTCTGTCTTTGCTGTTGAGTTTTTCCCCTTGCTGGCTCTCATTTTCCTTCTTGTGACTTTAATGTCTCCATGCCCACTGACTCCTTCTAATTCCCATACATATAGAACTATTTCCTCTCACAGAAAAAATTTCCCCAACCCGGTTTCAGTCTCTAAGTGTCTCTGTGTCTTCCTCCTTCCTCTCAAAGTATCTTTGCTTCTCATCAACTCAAGCTGAGATAGTCTGGCTTTGGCCACCACTTCCCCGCATGGCTGTAAGGCTGCTCGCTGGTGACTTTCTAACTGCCAAGCCCAGGGAGGCTTTTCCTGTCATGTGACCTTGGGCATGAGGATTGACTGTCCGCTCCTTGAAATGTTCCTTGCTTGGGTTTTTTAATGTAAGTCTTGTAAGTGTGCACGTACCTCTAACCTTTCCTCTTTAGTTTCCTGTGTCACAAGCTCCTCTTCTGTCCCCACCCTGGAGCATTGATGCTACCATGGTTCCATCCTTGGCTCACTACCACCCACCCTCAACCCACTGCTGCATGGTCTCAGATGTTCCCGTGATTCAGCTGGTGCTGGCAATACTGCACCTGTCTCCCACCCTGGCATTCTTCCTGGAATAATACTTGTTTTGGATATCCAAATGTTTCCTGGAAACCAACATGTCCCACAGACATGTCTCATGGAGCTGACCACATTTCCTCCCCTTGAATCTCCTTCAGTTCCTTATAAAGTAATCCTTCTACACTTAAGCACAGTCAGCTGGAATCCCTGCAGCGAGGGGGAGAAGGCTGTAGCCTGTGACCTGAACAGTCGATTACAACAGACTCAACAGAACTGTATAGCATATCCTACGGTTGTGTCTACCGACGAAGGAAGTCATTTCATTACATTCCTGTCTCAGGAAAGTCGGCCACTCGGTAGCATCCCTGCCTGCCATGCTGGCCGCTCAGTACTAGCAAGGTGGGCTTAGACAAAGTTTTAAATCTTGCTAAGCTGCTATTTCTTCATCTGTCAAATGAATATTATAACACTGTTACTCACCTACCTGGGACGACACAGATTACTAGTTCTTGCCCATGTTAGTCTTTACTGATAATCCAGAAGGCTCAGATGATATTAGACAGAACTGCCAGTGGAGTTCTGTGTTTTCCTTCACCACTCTATGTTGCACCTGGGTCCAGAATGAACAAAGGAGGGTTTTTGTTTGTTTGTTTGTTTGTTTACTTTGTTTTGTTTCGCAATACTGGGGTTTGAATTCAGGGCCTCCTGCTTGCTAGGCAAGGGCTCTGCCACTTGAGCCACGCCAACAGCCTTCAGAAGAGGTTTTTAAGGGATGCATGCAAGATATCACTTATACAGGGGTTCAGGAACCCTCTTTATTTTATGGATGATACTATTGCTTTCCAATGGGCTAGGTCCCCTCAATGAGTACAGTATGTCAACCGTAAAGTATACTTAAACAAACCAGCTGGTAAATGGGTTGCATAGATAAGATCTTTTTGTTATCTTCATTTTTTTTTTCTTTTGTGGTACTGGGAATTGAATTTAGGGCCTTGTGCTAGTTAGACAAGGACTCTACCACTTGAGCAATGCCTCCTGTCAATCTTTTTGATTGTAAATACCATCAAGAAATATTTAGGAGACTGACTTGGTCATTTCTTTTTGTCCCTTCTCCTTAGATGCTCCTGTTGGAAATATGACTGAGAACCTCTACCTGACAGTTATTTCTTCTTTCTTAGTTTCCTGATTTTATTTGGTCAACAACATGCACAGGGAAGGAGTTCCTGTTTCCTGGCTTCAGGGCAAAGTCATGATTGGTCTTAATTCTAACACATTCCCCAATGGTGACTGGTTTTGAACTGAGCATGTGATGAGTTCTGGCCAATGAGATGGAAGAGTCTGGCAGCAGGTATTTGGGAAAGATTTTGAAGTCCAGTTAAGATTAAATCCAAGAGAGGAAAAGGTTTCCTATTAACAAGTCCAAGGGTGAAAAACCAACATGCTGAGAACGGGGTTTAGGACGGTAGGAAAAGGCTACTGACGTCCTTGAGTCACTACAGTTAAAAGAAATCTTTTTTTTCTATAGTTTTGTTTTTCTTTGACAGTACTGGGGTTTGAACTTGAAGTCTCTTGCTTTCTAGGCTGGTGCTGTACCACTGGAACCATGACTCCAACCTGCTAGTATTTTTTTTTTTTTTTTGGTGGGACTATGGTTTCAACTCAGGGCTTCGAACTTGCAAAGCAGAAACTCTACCGCTTGAGCCACACCTCCAGTCCATCTTTTGCTGTGGTTATTTTGGAGATAGGATCTCATGAACTATTTGACCAGGCTGGCCTCAAACCGCAATCCTCCTGATCTCAGCCTCCCAAGTAGTTAGGATTAGAGGCATAAGCCACCAGAGCCCAGCCTACTGTAGAATTTTTATATCAGATTTTCAAATGTGTTCTTGCTTAAGGCAGCGTGAGTTATGCATTCATTGCTTGTAACTCCATGTGTTCCCAATTGAAACAGAACCTTGTAGAATTGTTTGAGGGTCAAGAGAGACACTGAGCCCAGAACAGTAGTAAACTCTGGGAATCCTAGCACCTCGGAGGCAGAGGCAGGAGGATTGTAGTTCCAGACCAGCCTGGGTTATATAGTGAGATTCTGGATCCAAATAAACAAAATTGCAACAAAACAAACAAAACACCGAATGTAGTATGTCCAGCTTGTAATAGATCTTCATCTTACAACTAACACTATCGCTCCTCCTCCTTTTTTCCCTAGTTTATAAAACCTGATTTTATTTGGGCAGCAAGTATAAGGAAGGAGAACCCTGTCTCAGGTTGCAGAGAAAAACCATAATAAGTTACTACATCTCAGTAGATCTGGTGCCCTCCATTACCTTTCTCTTTCCTTCTCCCTGCTGTCATTCCTAAACTCTGGTTCAGCTTCTCACAACAACCCTTCCAACTCCAGTATGTATTTCCTAACTAGTCTCTCCTTTCTGCTCTTACTGTAGCCGCCCCAGTTCAAGAGCCCTTCATTTTTGCTTAGAAGGCTGCTTTTCTCATCTCTTCCCAGCCTGTCTCCTTCCTGCTCACCTCTTCTCTTGTCTCCACACACCATCAGAGTAAGCTACTGCAATGGTGGGGGTCCACAGCTCTCTCCTCCTGTTAAAATGTTCACTAAGCCCCCTTTCTCAGGGCATGGCTCCCAGATTGAGCCTGTGGTATTCCAATTTCTGTGCTATTCCACACACTGTAAGTATTTTTTATTTATTTATTTTTTGTGGTATTGGGATTTGGACTCAGGGGCTCACTCTTGCTAGGCAGGTGCTCTACCACTTGTCCTGCCCTTTTTTGTGAAGGGTTTTTTTGAGATAGGGTCTCTCCAACTATTTGCCTGGGTTGGCTTTGAACCTCAATCCTCCTGATCTCAGAGTAGCTAGGATTACAGGCATGAGTCACTGGTGCCCAGCTAAGTACCTTCTTTTTGAAAGGCAACCTCGATCCTAGTCCTTCAGGGTCACACTCTCCAACTTGCCTCCTTCTTGGGGGTTCAGGACATGCTGCCTCCAAAATACAGTATCTCAGCACTGGAGAGGACAACAGGCACAGGAAAGTCACTCCCACTCCCCTCACCCTGCTCCTTGAGGCAGGCCACAGAGCCTTCCTTCTAGAGCCGCCCTCCATACCTGGAGGAAAGGAATACCCTTATCCCTGGGGACACAGGGACGCCAAGATAAAGATGAACAAACCCATCCAGTGGATTGCCATCAGACCACACTCCCTTGTTCAGTCTTGTTTTCCTAAGACCATCCACT